ATTCTCCACCTTTTTCCTTCAATGGCTTTAATATTAACTGATGCAATTGTCGGTTTCCTTTCCCAACATTTACAGTGAAACCTAGACATGTGCGATAAGACGTGAATTATTTCAGACACAGGAATGAGTTCTGCATATAAATTAATCTAGTAATGGCCAACAGATTCCATATTTATACTCTAGTTTGATATTCATAGAGCCGGCAATATTACAAATGATGTCTTTTCATCTTCATATTGGGCTGTGCATGATGAGGGACATGATATATATGCGGAAATGTGCTAAAATGATCATTCTCTGATAATGCAAGCATGGTTCTTTACATTGATGCCATTTGGGAAACAACTAAAAACAAGTACGTCATACTCTATCCTTTACAGGATCTTCAGAGAACGCATCATGTTATAAAGAGTCCAAGAAGAGCCCCGTTGAATCACAACACAGCAGGACTCAGTTGCTGCACATTAACCACTGAATATTTCAAGGATGTTACCAAACTAGGCACACCGTTATCAGAGCTGTAGAACAGATGTTTTCTTTACGACAGCTGGTGGAAAACGCCTGCTTAAGAAATGTCTTTGAAGAACTTGGTACAAAGCGGTCTTTGAAAAATCTGTTGGGAGGCTAAAGGTTCTTTGTAGTACATAAAAGCAATCTGGTCCTATGGCCTCATTATGAGACAATACTTTTTTTTAAGGATGATAGCTTACTGATTGACAAGTCAAGCCTTTGCATGGAAACAAATCCGGTGCTCTTTTAATGAGGGGCAGCAGTGGATCAGTGGTAGTCAGTCGTCTCTCATCGGGGATTTGGTACCCAGCTACATGTTGAAGTTTGCTTGGGTAAGATCCCTGTACCCTAACCCTAAAATGAATAATACTGATGGACACTTTACGTAGCAGCCTCTGCCATCAGTGTGTCAATGTATCATGTAGAAGCTATTTTGAGGAGTCTAGAAGACTAGTGAAGGGTTATACCAATTTTCGACAATGCTTACAAGTTTATTCTGGCTGTTTTTCCCCCCACCAAAAGGCCCACAGTTCAGTTTTTGTTATTTTTGGACCATGCATGAAAGCCTTAGACCTACCTTGTGACTTTCCCTAAAAGACTCGTAACCTGTAACGTTGAGGACTCATCTTCAGACAGTGACTTGGACTTGTTTCAACTGACTTTTAGCCTTACTTTAACTCCCTCCAAAACAACCAAAAAACGGCTCTGCAGGTAGAAAACGGTCCATTGTGAAATCAATAAGAACCTTTCTGCTTGCCCTGAAGAACCCTTGTAAAAAAATAAACAAAACAAAAAAGCTGGAAACTGTAAAAATAAACGGTTGTTGGCAGAATGGCTGTACCTCATTTTTGACCTTTTTGTTTTTGCACATTTTAGCTCAGGCAGTGGAGAAACTCAGGCATAAAAGTAAAAAGAACCAACAACTCTAAAATAACCAGCAGAACTTGCTCTTTTACAGTGGTCAATTCTGCTGCTAACCTTAGGTCACTATCTGATGGAGTGAGAGTAACACTGTTTTAATGGGTCAGGCTCAGCACTACATGACACACAGTCTTCAGATGCCGTTGCTTGGCTCCTGATACATCTTTAAAAATAAAAAATAAAGAACTGTTGCATAATTGGATAACTGGTCTCAGTGGAGTGCCAGTTTCCTTCTAATCCATTTCTCCTCATGCCAATTTCAGTTGGAAGTGTTTGTGTCAAGTAGAGAATGATGACTTTAATTAATTTAGTTGTTTATTGACCAGTTTCTTTTTTGCCTTTTAGAGTCCTTTTCATGGAGAGAATATTGAGAGCCTTTTAAAAATACCCTCCATGCATTTTCCACACAACTACACTGATTGTCTTTTATGTTGTTGTGAATTAATAGACAAGTGGTGCAGTAGTCTTTATTCAGTACTACTGTGGTGAAAAAAAGCATCTACATGCTAATCAAAATATAGCTGTTGACCAGACAAGTCGTATTGCAAAGTTTGTAAAAGTTTCCTGATCACTGACAACACCTTGCTATTTTATTGTAAGCCCTTTCTGATTTGAGTCCAGCAGAGGGATTTACTTTGATATTCAATATACAAACTCGATTGATGTGAATCAACACCTCCTGAACCTTGTCCCAAGCGATTTCAATTCTTAGTTTTTAAAAAAAAAACTTGGGTTCATGTTTTTTAGTTTCCAGCTGCTGCACTTGCTCATGGAGACAGAGAAGCCTAACACTCAGGATGAATCAAAAAGCCAATTCGACCCAATTTTTCACTCTGTCTTGGACCATTTGGACAACACTGAACTCAAATCAGATGGAACAGGCTGAAGTTTAGCCAGAATCTGTTTCTGTCTGAGGTCTTTGGTTGGGGGCAAAATGGCAGGCAAACAGTGAAGGTGTCCAAGTTGTTGGAAAACTACTTTTTGAGTTTTTTTGGAAGAGTATAAGTTTGAAGGAGGTTTCTTCAGAAAAACAAAGAGATAGTTGTTGGTCAGGTCTGAAGCAATTTGGGGCTTCAGTCAAGATTTAAAATGTGTCATCGTTTGATATTTTTTCATCAAGGACAAGTTTTTGTCTGACTTGAAAATACTGATGGCCCGTATTTCAATCCAATTGTTACAAGGGAGAAAACGTGAGGTGTCTGGCAGGCTGTGTTTACGCTTTACACTGTTTACACTACTCTATATTTTATATTTTGTACATTCAAATAATTTATTTTTTATTTTTTACATTATATTCTATTTTACTGTATATATGTGTACTAGTAATTTGAGTGTTTATTGCATGGCCTTGTGGAACAGTCCTTACATTTCACTGCACATCTGTATGAGCATGTGACAAATAATAATCTTGAATCTTGTTTAGTGTACTGTGTGACCTTCTGCACACACTACTGTGAAATTCTAGCTTACCAAGTAGGTTACTGACAACACATTAATACAGTGTAGGAAAATAATAATGTAGAAAAAAAGGAAACATCAGCAGCCCGACTGTTTGTGTCAGCTGTTTATGTTTCTCAGTAGGGACGGATTATTCAGCTTTAGCCCAAGGCTCTCAGCAACTTTCCTGACTCTGTTGGTGCGAGTCCTTATGTTCCTGTGGAGTTTCTCTGATGGTGAAAAAGAAAACTGACTTTATGCTGTTAGGAGAGGAGTCCTTTGAGTCAAAGGGAAAGTCAGGATGCTTTGGATGTTGCATTTTTTAAAAGGAGCTCACTGACTTTCCGTCGGATCAGTGGTCGGTGTCCTCCATTCTTGTCTGTTTTGACTGTCAGCTCATATGTAATGGAGGCAGATATTGAAGCTCTTTGAGGTCAAGACTTGCACTCTCTCTTTGGTGATCTGCTGTGAATAAAATACTTCTTAGTTTAACAGAGTCTGAAGTTTTTTTTTCTTCCGTCAATGCACAATGATGTCAGACAATTGGGAGTCATTGCTAGTCAACTGTAGAATTATTATTAGCTTTTTATGACGATCAGAGTGGTGTCATGTGGAATTTTCTCCCCACAGTCTGTGACAATTGGCCTCCAGTGTATGTGCCCACATCAATTTATTTTTCTAGGAATTAGCAATCAGCATTAGACAGGTCTCATGATTTAACTTATCTCCATGCAGTAAATGCTGATTGTACATTGTAATAAAGACACCATAAGCATTGGTTCCTGGCTTTCACCAAGCAATTCCGCATGCCTCAGGTACAAATCAGTTAGCTGGATTTACAGTTTGGCTAACTGTGGAACAAGATCTGGGAGTGTGGATCTACTGACACCGAAGATAAAGAGCCTATTGATGAAGAAGGTAAAGAAGGAGAATGATATTCAAATGAAAGTAGAATATGGCTGCACACTCATTGGAGAGAGCTGCGTGACTCTTCAGTTGGTATTTCATTTTCTAGATTATACCACCAGGCGTGTTCATTCGCCTTTATCACAGCACTCAGGGTTTGAGTTCAGATTGGGATCCGACAACAGCAATGCAGGAGAGGAGTCCCGTCTGGGTTACCATATCTGGAGTAAATGCTACGCTGATGATGCACCGCTGTATGTTGCAGTTAAGGTGTTTCTGCAGACATGCTTAACTTATAGGAAATAGTTATTCGCTCACTCTATATCTTAACCTTTCAAAAGCATTAGAGGCGCAGGTAGCCTAGTGGTTGGTGCGCACACCTCATGTACAGAGGCTATAATCCTCTAGGTGGCGGCCAGGGATCTGATCCGACCTGATTTGACTCTATCCACTATCCTTTCTCTACAATATATCCAAAAAAATAACTCTTTGGAACAATGCACATGGTGAAAATTGCCCAAAATTCAGTGGATATTTATATAGAAGCAAAGCACCCATGTAAGATTAAGTATTTGCTTATCATTAGGCCCTGGAAAGGGTGTCAAAATGTGGGCCATAAACCTGCTAAGCTTTAAAATGTAGAAGAAATGTAGAGGGAAAAGCATATGACGAATGGATGGATGTAGGAGTGTTCTGTGTACCTTCCATCACCAGATCAGGACCACATCCGTTTGTTAAGAACGTTGCGGTGAAAACAAGCGAGGCATCTCCCCTGCCAAAGTGTCATTTCATTGTTGCAGGTTTAAAAATAGATGTTCACATTTTTCTTATAGTGAAAGACCCTCCAAGGCCTTAAAAGGGTTATCTTTCTGAACATTTAATCCCCTATGAAGAAGTACTCTGCCTGAGGTAATCAGGCACGAGTCTACTAACAATTTGTACACCATGGTTTATCTGTCTGCTGGGTGACAAGGGTCTTCTCAGCAGCAGGTGACACCCACGGGACTTCAGTCTAAAACAGTAATGTCTGACAGGTTTATCAGCAATGCCGGCTGTGACAATAAACTTTGTGCAGCATATGGAGGTGAAAGTTTGTGATCAGGAAACAGTTTCTACAATCTTATCAGTGTACACAGAATGAAGGAAGGTGAAGATGAGGACTCTGATGGGATGGGGATGCTGAGATCTGGAGTCCTGTTTGTCATGATGGAAGTAGAGGTCACAGGTAAGTCATAAATGAAACTTTATTGACAGTTTGGATAACAAAGTTCTTCTTTGAATTGAATTAATTACATTTCGAACCAAAAAAGTAATAGAAGGCCACATAATAGAGCTGAATGACAGAGAAGACAATCAAACAGCTTCTCAAATAGACTGGTAAGGTTCTGAAGAGAAAAGAAAACTAAAGAGAGAGGGAAAATAAGAGTGGATATAGTACAGAAACGGGAATTGAATTGATCAAAACGGCACAACCCTTCATAGAAGGAGCAAATACAGACCTCCTGCAGCTTCAGGTAATGCTGCAAAGAACGACTGTCAGACTTGTGTTTTAAAACAGGATGAAACAATTCAGGGATCACTTTCATATTTGATTCTCCCTAAAACAAAACATGTCAACTAATAACGCCATGTTTTCGCTGAAGAGCTGTTTTCTCACGTCAGGTGTGAATCAAGATATTCAGCCCAACGAATGCTTTTACATCACTCTCACAAAAAGGTGCAGAAATCATAATCTTACCTAATGCAATCTGCGATCCCTCAAATCAAGATGACATAAAAACTCAAATAAAACACAGGGTGATAAAACAGATCCTGGCAAATTAAGCCTCCAGGAAATCGGAAAATGCTGCCTGCTGATTGGCCGAGGCTGATGTGGCTAGTAGAAAAAGGCTTGGCCTCTTTAGGAATTGGGAGGTTGGAAGGTTTTGGAGGTGGCCAGCATGGCTCGCACTTTGGCCATCAGATCCTGAAAACACAAGAGGAAAACAGAGAGGAGGAATGAGTTTCAGGGAGAAAACATCTCCAAACAAATTTGTTGCAACACTTCCTAACGGAGAATGAACATCTGTCTGTCTGGCAGGAGAAACTCCGGGTGAAGTCAGAGTGAAAAATGTGGCTGTTTGGGTCACACATTCAGCTCCTCCTGGAAATATCCTGAGTATTTCAGAAGTTTTCTGCAAGTGTGAAAGTCTTAATACAGGATTAACCGAGGGCCGGAAAGAAACTCATATTTCTAGTGTATTAAAGCTACTGAATTATAAAACATTCATCTTTTTATTAATTTAAATGACTCCCTGTAGTGTAAAAGAGCTTTTAGTTCACACTGTGAAACCCCTCCACTGTCATCAAATACAGTTCAGTGTTCAGTCTAATCTCTTGTCTGCGTCGTCCCTGACTTTGTATCTGTCACCTCTCACCAAACTCCACAAAAAAAAATCTTGCAAACAAGAGACCCGAGCTTTTTCTCATGTGTTCAAATCCACTACTCATGTTAAGATTAATCCATTTGTGAATATAAAAGAATGTGCTTTCTGCCTTCAAGCCATCATGAAATCTTTAATGCACAAATGAACGCATACAGATTTCAATAAAAGTACGTAAGCATTGAGAAGTACATCCTTCCCAAATTTGAAACCACATCTTCTCCAGCTATTCTGCTCTGTAGTCAGGATATAAACAATATAAAAACTCACAAAGCAAACCCCGCACTGAATTCTAAAACTAACACTGGTGTGTGTGTGCAGTTTCTCGTCTGGCCACTTGAGGCTTATTCCAAAAGCCTGTCAATCCCCATAGAGCCTTCTGTAAAAACGTCCAACCTTCCAGCTGGATTCCACATGTTTACAGCCTGGTCTCTACGGTTTATTTCCCTAGACAACTCTGCTACTCACTCTCCTCCCAGAATAGTGTGCAGGCAGTTTGTTAAGTGTCACAAGCGCTCTTAGCTTCTTCTTCTTCTTTCTTTCTTTAAAAAAAAAAAAAAAAAAAGAGTCCATTAAATAAATAAATAACCCTTGTCAGCTTCCACAACAAATAGAATGTCATTCTTTGGGAAAAGCTGTCTGTTACTTTTAAATCAGCCCGATGATGAATGTGCCTTGGGCAAAGACTGTACATCTTCGATAACTCAGTGTTTGTGACTTAAAAAAGATATTCCCCCCAACTAGGTGGTGATGTCACAATGGCTGTGGACTCCTTTTATATATACAATCGATGTAAATAGGTCAAGGATGGGAAAGACCAGTGAATATAGAAGATAATAATGCAAAACAAGAGCATTAGATCGATCAATCATGTCAAGTATAAAAAGACACAGGGACCACTCTTTCCCCTCTTTATGTTATAATGGATATATTGCTGACCACTGGGCATATACTGGTTATGCTGAATTGAAAGTGTTCATTTTCTACCCAGGAGTGATTCATACACGCATGGAAAAATCTCCCCCCTTGAGCTCTCCTGACAGATGAGACAAATTAAAAGCTGTAAACACAGAGGGAGGGAGCTGTCATATCAAATCACTCAGAAGGCTGTTCCTTTCTAAACCCGTGTGTATTGAAATAACAAACACACACACAACAAGTCGTTTGTTTTACAGAGTGGTGAGGACAAAAAAAAAAAAAAACGCTCCGTATTTTAATCAACTTAGTGGAAAGTTACCACATCGACAGTCGAACAATTGAATTCTGTACTGCCTTTAGAAATGAAAGTACAGCATTAATAGTATCGAAGATTATCAGAGGTATACTTCAGCTGTCACACAGGAGGGAGATAACTACGGTGACATTAGGGTTCGGTATTTCCCTCAACTCCGCGATACAATATGCATGATGGTACAGAGGCTGCGATACCATACATACCATGATATACAATGATTTTGGATAATGACCATGTCCTACACAGAATTCACAGCAACAGCTGTTCTTTATCGTTGAGAATAAAAGCAGAGGCATATTAAGGCTCCTACAACCTAAAACACTTCAATTCAGGTTCTCAGAGATCAAAATGTTTGATATAAAGGTGTTATTGTGAGCTGAACCATAGGGAAACTATCTTTCACATCTGTCATCACAGCTTTGCAGCCAGTTAGCCGAACACTTCTGCAACATCTGCAGCGATCACTGTGTGAACACTGTGTGAACACAATGATCGACTAGAGTGGCAGCGACCTACGGCGTAGCACGCGGCGCTGAAGGACCGCGGCGCGCACGGAGTACGTGTAAATTGGCGGGTAACTCTGACAAGGATGCAGGCCAACTCAGAACCAAAATTTCCATTTAACAATACACAAGGCATTGAATCCTAAAACACCCTGAATATTCTCATGTGCTCATTTTGATGACATTTGAAAGCAGTAAGAATCCTCCACACTGCTCTGTCATGGCAGCACAGTGACTCAGCAGTGGATCATTAAGATCTAAATAGGTTCATTTGACTAGCAGAGTCAAGGTCAGATCCTATAATTGGACTCTTTTCTTCTGATGTTATTGATCTCAGGGGGATGCCCAGGTTTTAGGACATGTCCTGGACTTGAACAGACCTTAAGGGGCCTGAGGTAAGAGGCAACAGGCATCAGCATGATTATTCTCAGCAGCTTTAAAGCCTTTAGATGTATTCAATGTGGAGCAGTTTGTAATCTGAATATTGTTGTGTTCATGCAGCAGGTCAATAATCACACTTAATAAATAAATACAATTAAAATCTGGCTGTTATATACATGTTTTCCTTAGTTATTGGGGTTCCATACATGTACATAAAACAGAACTACCTTTATATAAAAAAGACCGAACACAAGCCTAGATGCTACTCTCAAGGTTTTACCAATTGTCCATCAAATAAATGTCTGGCAGAGGAGACGGTGACTACAGCCGGTGACTACAGACGGAGAAACGACGACGAGCAGGAGGAAAATGAGACGGATGAGGCAAACAGCTAGCAGGCCCCCTCAGGGAAGAAGAGACTATTAAGCAGATGAGGATGTGCTGAATTATTCAAGATGTGTTTGTAGAACATTACAGATGGGGTATAAGTAGTTAGTGCTCGTGAAGCTGTTCATGCTGCAACAGCCAGCGAGCAGCAGGTTTTTCAACGAGCCATCTTCTGTGGGGTTGTTGAGATGAAGACAGGAGAGGAGAAAGCGTCGGGTTTGTTTGACATGATGAGTAACAGGAAGACAAAAGATGGGAGTTTTTTTTTTTTTTTTTTTTATAAGTGAGAAAATGAAGAGATGAGAAATTTGTTGTGTCTGTGGTGTATCTGCTGAGTAAACACCAAACACTGAGTCAGACACACACTATCACTCTCTCTCTCTCTCTTTCTCCAACAGAAGTGACAACGTGCTGCACATTCAGTGCGAGTCGTGCGGGGTGTTCAGAGTAGCTCCTCTTGCCTCTCCATTCCCAGTCTATTGACCTCCATTAGCTTTAGTCCCAATGCTTATTGCATTCTGGCCTACACCGCATCCTCTGAAGATTCAGTGCAACTCTTTTTTTTTTCTTGGAGGTGTAACCGTTCCTACACCACATTTATATACGCTCAGTGTGAAGTTGTTTTATTAACATTATAATAGTGAGGCTACAAATGATATTCACTGTGATTCAACGCTCCATTACACATTTAGTAAGCTGCCTGGCTGCACGGCAGAAGCACATTGAAGTATTTCATCACTTCATGAAATGCAGTGACAAGTAGAAATTAGATTAATGATATTTCAGGAAACATTAAATGAAGATGTTGATCCAGCACTCAACATGTAAGGAAAAGGAAGCATGTGTAATTGAAGTAATGACAGTCAGAAAATATCTTTCATCTGGGGGTTGATTTCAACTTTTTAGACGAATCAAGGTAACTCATCTTGAAGTTTGTCTTAGGTTTATGTTTCCAAAGCAGCGGACATGAAATAAATAAACATTACATCATGGTATTGATTGACAGCGCTGGATGTGAGAGGAAAACTAGACAAAAAGATAAGAGAGAGAGAACAGTGTGTTACTTTTTGCCCAAAACATAAAGGTATTAACTTGAACACCGGTTTGCAGCAATTTTGTCCCCATTTTCTTTTTTTTTTTAACCACAGGCTGAAAAGGTAAGACAAATAACACCAAAACATTGTTTCTTATGTATTAAGTCCTCCGTCTTCTTCCCTTCCTGTTACCAGGTACGTGTGCCTGCATGTGATTAGGGTGCAATTCTGAAGCAGCATGATAGCAGCCGTAAATTGGACATTAGAATTTTAAACAAGCTGGAGCACGGGGAACATGTTCTGGGGTCAGAACGTATTAACCAGGTGTGTGTTAGGTCACATTATAATGAATGCATGTTAGGTTACATTATGATTAATGAGCGAAGTGTAAGAGTGGGAGTATGATGCACAAAGCATTTCCTTTAGAGACTGTGGTTGCATGCAGCGTGTGTGTGATTGTTGGAACGGGGACTTGTGTTCTTAACACTCTACAGGGGGGCTGCAGCCTCTGTGAGCCTGACCATGGTAGCAGCTTAAATGGTAAATGGACTTAAGCTTGTATAGCGCTTTTACACTGCAAGTCACACCTACACATTCACACACTGATGGCAGAGGTGTCTTTGTAAAGTGTCCATCAGAAATAACAAATACCATTTATACGCATTCATATGCCGCTGACGAAGCAGCGGGAGCAAATTGGGGTTAAATATCTTGCCCAAGGACATGTGGACATGTGGCTGCAGGAGCTGGGAGACGACCGACTCTACAACAGATCCACAGTTATATGTCTGTCAAAAACATATTCCCATGTTCTACCGTGAAACCTGTACAGCTGGTTATTTGGGTCATGCTGGAGCAGCAGAAACAACTCTGTGAACAAAACCTGTTACTGGATATGCTAAAATCGGCCGATATTATCTGTTGGCCGATTAATCGGTTCGACTCGAATACAAACCATGGAATGCTATAATTGTAGCATTAAAAGTTTTTTAGTTTGTTAAAATGAAAGTGTTCTGTTCTTGTTTGTGCTGAAATCAAATACCTCTGCAAGAAGAATAACAAGAATACACTGAAATATTATTCAACAAAACACAATGAGTGCTTCACTTTAGACTTTTAACAAAGGGTTTTATTGAATGTCTTACATAAAGGCTATGTTATGTTTGTATCTGTGGAAATGTACAGCACTTTCCGTCCATCCACTTTGCCTGATGGAAACAAAAGAACAACACTCTATTCTTGTTGTCGTCAGGCTGTAAAGGTCAGCATAGGATGTACTTAAGATAAAAGCAAAGAACAATACCTGAGTTATTTTCGACTGAACCGAGGATACTATGGATGAGGACACCGCCTTGTCTTTCTCCTGGGAACCACCCCTGCAGAGAGAAGAGATGGAGGGAGAAGCGGAGACAAACAAAAGGGCGAGGGGGAGAGAAAACCCAATCACGTTAACAGGAGAGGCTATACAATATTCATGATATCTTCTGCGATGTTCAAACTTAGACAGGCGTCGAGAGCCTCAGGAGGAGGAGCAGAGGCAGAAGACGGAGAGGTGAGAGAGGAACGACATGTGACCTGAAAAGACTAACCTCCACGTCAACAATGTCAAACGCAGCCAAGTATATAATCGTGTAGACAAACAGGAGAAGTGCCAAAAACGCAGGCTTCAAATTCTGCTTCATGTCTCTGTCTAAAGCCTTTAATCTCTCTGCTGTTGAACACTTCATAATTAATCAGGCCTGAAGAAAAATCATGCCTGTCAAGATGAATGAACACAACAGGTGACATGAAACTGCAGATATGACGGCTGATGATGTTCTGTGGTTTTCAGGGTTTAGACTCCATGAAAAAAGCTTAGTAATGTGTGTATCTCAGTCTGTCATTAAAATGTTTTACTCCTGTTTAATCACATAACCATGATGCTCTAGTTCTATACCAATTAGAAAAGTGAAATTCAAATACCAAACCGACAGAACCAGCCTTGTCTATGATGCACAGAGGTCAATAGTTTAAAAAGCTCTAAAAGGTAACTCAAAAACCTTTGACGACTAAAAATGTTCAAATGAAGCCAGTCTCCCCCCCCAAGGAAGGGTTCTTGCTTGTTAGATCATTGCTTTCTCTTAAAGGAGCCATCACTACTGGAGGAAAAAAGACAGCATTCTCACCTGTCCGGTTTACTGGGGAAATTGGATGTTGATGGACAAAAACAATACTTTCTAAAGCATTCAATTGGGGTTTGAAACCCAAAAAAAATCCATCTGTTTTGAACAAGTTTTCCTGTATAAAAAAAAATGATACACTTTTTTTTAATTCATGTTTATGCATTATAAATGCAAGAAAGGTCACATATTCTCCTCCTTTTTAACCAGTTTAAGTCTCAGAGCTCCCCAATTGTGCACAATATGTGATCTTTAACCTGTAGGGGTGGGACAAAATACTGATCCGGCAATATTGTGTTTTTAGCACACTTTATAATTATTACATTGCTCGTTCCAAATTTCGCTCAAAGTTTGACTGACCAAGTCACTTCTTCATGAATACTTAAGGCGGTGCTTATAACAGGAGTGAGGGTAATGACATGTGAATGGAGGCTAACTGGCCAGAGTAGAAGTTGACAGTGGTAAGAAAACAAGCAGAAGAAGAACACAGTGTGATGTCGGACAGGGGTGTAAGGAAGTTAATATCATTATATGATTGTCGTGATTGTCAGTTACCACAGAATGGCTGTATTTTGATATTATTGTTTGTGGATTATGCATTCCGCCTTGTTTCCTATCATAAATTGCAACTCCCACCTCCACTGACATCACAGTTAAATAGTGAGGCTCTCTTTGCAGATACAAGGTACATCCAAAGGAGGTTTTTGTGTTCCCCTAAATGCTTTAATTTGATTGTGTTTATGAGAGTATTATTAGTTTTAATTTCTATGTATTCTGACATATTGATGATATACTGATAATCTAGATCATCTAGTCTATAATCCTCCCAGCACACAATTTGAAGTTCGATTGCAGGACATGAGATGTTACTTCTCAAAATATGATGGTGAGTCATTATGAATGTAAATCCTGCATCAGCTTCAGCTATGAAATTCTGGTGTGTTGAAAACATTTCCTCATCTCCTATGTAAGTAATATATTGTAATTGAACAGTTATGCAGAGAGGGCTAATGTATTTATTCTTTCCTGTTGGCGCACTAGTTCTAGTTATGAGTTGGCCTATGCTCTATCGACTAACAATGCATGTCAGTGATATTCAAGCGGGTACAAATTGATTTCACTGATATGCATTTTGAATCCAACATCAGACAATGCTGCTCCAGGGAAGGTAATTGCTTCAACATGTGTAAAGATTTGAGCGCTGCATAAATCAGAGCTGACATTTACGTGCAGTGATCGACTCAATTTTATGTTCTTCACTACACTATTTCACCCCTCACTCAAAACGTCATCAGTGTACAGACCATCTCAAAATCTACATTACGAAAAAAAAAGATAAATAATGTATAACACCAAATATATCAAATAAAAAAATGTTCCCTTGTCGTATTCAACAGAGTGATTTCTCTGTTGGTGCATGCATAAAGCATGTTTTCCATGTATCTACATTTGTCTGCTGTTGTCAAGCAGCTTGACCTACTTCAGTTCCTGTATTACAGTGGGTTTTGTTTTGGTTTAAATGGGGAGGGGAACATGAGAGCAATGAGTTTGTTTTGCAGTTTGACAATAATATATGCAGCTTGACCATGACATCCGATCAGAAGAGGCTGTGTCGGTGAAACAAAAACATTCATGCCTTCAGACCTTGAGAAGATGTTTGCTCTGATACATCATATCGCCAGCTTTTCAGAGTTTACGCATTAAGTCTCCTCCGTCCGTACTGGGATTTACAATTTCTTCGACACCACAGACAGAGCTGAGGCTGGTGTTGTACCCGGCGCACAGTTTCTAACAGCTAGTATTGCAGTTGAGCTTGAGGTGTCTTTTGAATGAAACTGCCACAGATGGCTAAAACTGGCAAAACTTAGAAATAAGAACGGAGAAATGATGTGTTGAGAAGTCCAACACAATGATTAACTGCCAAATCGTCCAGTAGCTACTGTTTTTAGATCATCACACCTTTCCATTTTAGAACCCTTTTTTCCTCAAACCTGATCTCAGACGTGGTATGAAATAGCTTCTTCTTTATGGCACAGCTTCTCTAAAGCCTGAGCTACCTGATCAAGCTGTTTGTCTCATGCTTTGGATTCATTTGCCCATTTGGCAGACTTAATTATTTCCACTTCCAACAAGAAACCTTGAAAAATGAGTCTACAGTTTGATAGCAATATACTCAATATCATGTAATGTTTATAATTACAAACACTGGTTTGATGTACATCATTTAGAATGACGACTTATGAGTTTGATTTCCATAAGACTATCTCGAGTATAACACTTGGTGTGATAATACCCCAAACCCTTTAAAGAGCAAAATAAAGCAGCTACATATCTTACACATTTTTACTTCACTATCCTGGAACAGCTTCCAAATAATTCAGAAATAAAACACAGTGGTCTTAAGAACAGCACTCCAAGTTTGTTTCAACCCCTTTAAATGTAGTTAATAACCTGCATTCAAACATTTATAACTTCCATGAGAGCAGATGACTCACTTTTTTTTGTGTCTTTGTCACAAAAATAGACACCGCCCTCTAAATTCATTAAACATGGGGTTCTTTTTACCACAGCCCAATGCACGCCTCTTTGATGGGGAGGTTCAAGAGAATGACAGACCTGCTGAGCAAAGTTATGCTTACTTAAATTAAGACTGAATAATAGCTGCTGATGGGAGGTGGTTTGTGAACGCTCAATAGTTTAGTCTTCACAACATAAATAAATGTGTGACCTTGTTTTAGACAAAGAGATGGTGTTTGGTGAAAGACTTTAAATTGAGGAAATTAATTGAACATCATCTTCATTTTGACAGGTTACTTTATTGGTCAACAGTTGCTGCACTGTCCTATTAGAGGTCTTTGTATGTCAGTGATTCAGGCCTGGAGGAAACAATCTATTCTCGGTCTAGGTTAGACTAATTTAGAATTGTGTAAGTCTGATCATGCTTTAGCTTCAAAGCCAAAACCTCCCAACTACCTGTTGTCTCTAAAGTGGATACATTTTTTCTGTTAGAGCAATCCAAATGCTTAGCTCATTGACTGACAGGCTTGTGGAGGGTTACCTGGAGAGTCCTAGGCTGGAGGCGGGACTAGCTGACTGGGACAAAACTCTGCCTGGTGAGGAGTAAGGGACAAAGAGGAACCTGCAGTTTGCATGTGACCTGAAGAAGACAAGGCGCTCCTCTTTTTATCTGGAGGGGACCTGGGAGACAAAACAAGAAGTGCACCGTGGGAACTATTTTATTTCGCAAGTCACTCCACAAATGATACAGTATATCAAGGGTTGTGGAATATTTTATGAAGGAAGAGCTTGCATATTCAACAAGCTCTACTTCATATTCACGCAGAAAGAGGCGGTCTGTCACAGTTTTACGAGTGGTCATTTGGGGATTTGATGTCTTTTATGTCATCAGATTGGCTACAGCTCGATGTACAGGCAGCTTTGTACACTCAGTGTGCTCAGTGTTTAGAAGATAAACACAAAACCTTGTCTGATTAAAAATCCTTGCTCCCCGTTGTTTTAATGACGAATGGATATTGAAATGTGGGACTGAGCACCTTGTCGTGGCAGTGTTAGTGCCCCTCTCTGCCCTAACAGGTTTAATAATGGATGTTTTCAGTGGTAGAATACGAGCAGCCGTGAGAGGAGACCCGTGATTCCTCTCACCACGGACTGACAACACCTGCTGTCAGGTTTACCTGGATCTCGAATGCCCCCTGGGACGACTGGAGCTGCTGCTGGGATGATGGCGCTCTCGCTCTCTCTCGTCACGTCTCCTCTCTGACGAGGGGCCCCTTCTGTCCCTTCTCCCCGGGGAGTGCGAGCGGGATCTGGACAGACAGAAGCACAAAGACAGTGTAAAAAGGGGATGAGGAGGGGGGAAAGCCATTAAATTACAGAAAATGGAGCTTGGCAGATGAGCTGATGAATTTAAAATGAAGAACAAGAGAGGAGGCTGATAAGACAATGACGGAGGTAATGTGCAAGAGGAAGAAATGAGGCGAGCAATCAGGATGGTTCTTAAAGGAACCCAAGAGCAGGAATAATAAATGAGGCTTTGTAGCGATTCTATCGGACTATTTAAAGACCTCAATGTGTCAGAATTTATATGAAGGCAGTTTTAAAGCGACTTTAACTACTGCTGCAGGAAAAAAAACCACACTGTAATTCTCTGAATAACTTTTATAAGCATTACATCACATGGACTCTGAATATGTAAATAGTGTCTTTTAAAAGCGCCTGGAAAGAAAACAGTATCAAATATTTATAAAATAATATAAGATATTCATTCATTTCTGAGATAGATTCCCATAAAGGCTATATTGCTAAATTCATTGTCCCAACACTGGCTGGTATGCAAAGACTTGTAACATCCAGAGTTAGAGATGAAAATAACCCGAAAACAAAGCCAGGAGGGACAGGCATGCTGAGATAATGTCAGCCTGTCTTGGGGAGGCAAAACAAACGTGCCTGGTCAATATCGTTTACAGATAAATGGCACAAACAAAGCGTTTTTTTTTTTTCTACCTCTGATCACTTCCCCTTTCTATGAATGTATTAGTCTTCAATCTTCTGCTTCTAAGCCTGCATATCTTTCATTTACTTCACACTTTTGCTGCTTGCAGACATGTAGAAAAGGAATACATTATCTTCTATTACTACTGTGGTTCATATGGGTGCAGTGCCCTGGTGACTGTAGGTTCACCTGTGCAGATGAAAACAAGGGGCTGATGCATGGTGATCATGTTGTCAGTCATTTTTCGTGAGCTTTCATTAAAATAAATGCTACATGTAGTTCAACGGGATCACAATATCAACAAAATACTGAATAACAATAATTATAATGAAATAATAGTTCAGAATATAGTGAGGTCAGGGCTATTCTTAAAAAATAAATTAAAAAAATTGCATCTTCACCAATGCAGCGTCATAACAGTATGAAGCACAACAACACCTAAAACAACAGCGAACATTAAAGTACTTTTCACGGGTTTAGAATCCGTGGAAAGGAGCAGCAGAGGACGATACAGATCAGCTACACTGAGCACTGTCAGGGCTAAAGCCTTATTTCTCCTGCTGAATTATCAAATGTAAGATAACAAAAGACAAACAGGGAGAGAGAAAAAATAAAAGTCATTGAGCTTTTGGTGTCTTACCGAGACCTGCGGGATCTCCTGTAGGCACTGGGAAGGGAATGTTTGCTCTTCGACCGTGACCTAGATCTTGACCTCCTCTTGTGTTTTTTCTTCTTTTTGTCTTTGTCCCTCCCTTTGCTCCTGTCCGTGTCTCTGTCTCTATCTCGTTCTCTCTCTCTTTCTCTGTCTCTCTCTCTATCTCTGTTTCTGTCTTTGTCTCTCTCTCGGTCTCGCTCTCTGTCTCTAGCTGTTCCTCTGGAGGTAGTGTAAGAAGATGAGGAGGGGGGGGGAAGGGGCTTCCCTGCTGCGATGGGCTCCTAGGTTCTCCATGGCGGATCTTTGATCTTGAGGATACACAGGTGGTGCAGAGGACAATTGAGGGGGGTGTAGGGTCACACAGTAGAGACAGGGCTTCTTGGATCTAGAAACATAGGAAGGAAAAAAAAAGACCAGTGAGGGCACGGACATATTTGCTTTTTTTTTTTTTAAGTTCACCTGATGAGTCAAAGTGTTTCCATAGAGATTCTGAGGAATGGGTTTTCTCGTCTTTACGATAGAGAACATAACCTTGTTTGCTTTTCTTATCTCATCATATTCCTTCAGGTTCTCCATGGACTTTTTTTTCCTGTCTTTCAAATTATATATTTACTAGTGTTGTAGTCAAGACCACACTAGCCGAGACTAGAGTGCTCAGAGACCAAGACAAGACCAAGACATTTAGGGATTGAGACCGAGTCAAGACCAAGACCAAGCTAGGGCGAGCCCGACACAAGACCAAACATATCAATTAAAGATCACCATGTTGTGTTCAGTGGGCGTGTCACTCACTTTGGCCGTAACCAGGCGATTAACATCAAATTATGAATTGAAGTTATTTGTTCTTTTTAGAAAGGGGAGTTTTCTTTTTACTCACAGGAATGATGCGGCAAATAGTGTATCAGTATCAGTGGTGGTCTTGATTTAAAATCCGGAGTCCGCCCATTCTGAGACCGAGACAAGCTCGAGTAAAAATGCTTCTGATACCAAGACGAGACCTTGAAAAAGTGGTTTTGAGACCAAAACCGATTTTGTGTAATACAACACTAATATTTTCTGTCACATACTCATGTTCATAGAGACAACCTCATCGTAGAGCTAAACTGAAGAATGAAAATATAATGGTAATATGTGCTTGATTTCTGGTTATGGATAAAAATCCCACACCACCACATTGTTATAAAAATGTATAAAATAATCATACGTGCAGTCAAAAGGGCATTGAATTATAACTAAATACCTAAAAAAAATCCTTCCTCAGCAGATTCATTTGTGTTGTTACAAATCCCAGTGGAGCCCTCTGGCTATACTAAGTAACAGGTATCAGCTGCAGCATTACTCTAATGAACTCAATGTGGGTCGGTCTGTTGACGTGTGATTGGTCTGAACCTGGAAAGTGGATTGAACACAACACTTAATCTTCCAAGGTCAGGTCTTATATATCACTGCTAGGGTCACATGTGTTACATATGTATACTTTTTACTGGCACTAAAAGAGCTTTTGGATAAAGAAAGGCGTATATCATATGCCAGCATTAACATAAATGGAATGACTGCTCAAGAGGTGAATGAATGTGTGCCGTGACTTCAGTCACATCAATTCAATCACCCCACGTCTAACCTTGTAAAATAAAAAAAGGGTTTAGCATAAGAAGTCATATTAGGAGGGGAAGACATAAAAGAGGGAGAACAGATTATATTGAAAAGAGGAGGCAAATGAGACAGAGAAGAACAGGGTGGAAAGACAGCAGGTAAAGAGTTCCTGACTGATGACGATCAATAGCTGAAAAAACAGGAAGGTAGGTAGAGAAAGGGGGAATATTTATTACACTTTGCACACTATCAGGTGTCTTGGCTTGGTGGGGGGGGGGGGGAAGATAATGAAATGATTGGAAGCAAGGTTTGGTTTAAAATTAGGGCTGACACATCGAAGCTTATCCCAACACCAGACTGAGAGAAACGTCTGCCCTCTCACACCTGCTCTGGCAAGATACTGAAGTTTGGGAAAGTTAGTGGAGTAACAATAAGGAGTTAAGAAAGGAGAGGAGATAAGCCGTCCTCTCGACTAAAACAATAAATATGCAATGAGAGTTGGACAAAGCAAACTATTTAGCAGGATCTGTTAACATTTACAATACCAACACTGGTGTGCTGTGGAGAACACACAATAACTAAATATACTGTTACAGCTAATCTCTATCTTTGTTTGGGGTGGTAGTTGCCAGTTGCATTTTGAAATCTTAGCTGAGTTGGACTTTTTGTAACTCTAGTAGAACTCTGAATAATATACCATAACATTACATTTAAAGCTACAGCAACAGCAGCTTGAACATACACAGGACGAAGCAATTCGGGGTTAAGTGTCTTGCCCCATGACACATCGGACATGTTGCTGAAGGAGCTGGGGATCGAACTCTCAACCTTCCAGTTGAGAGACAACAAACTCTACCAACTGAGCCACAGCTGCCCCACGATAAGTGTTTACTAAAGGATTTCATCATATTGATATAAACAATAAGATAAGCACGGACAATTTTTCTCTAATTATTATTTTAGGGGCAGTGATGAGAGAACTTAAACAAGCAAGCCTCAGTACAATAGTTATTTATGTAAGACCCAATTCACTGCCTTTATGAAAAGTGTTAAAACTCTATGTAAATGTTAATGTACGTGAGCTTGTATAGCACTTTTCTTATCTTCTGACTACTTCAAGCACTTTAACACTGCAGGTCACACCTACCCATTCACACGCTGATGGCAGAGGCTGCTGTGGGAAGTGGCCATCAGTGTCACCTAATCCATTCATACACATTTATACACTGTCGTTGAAGCAGTGGGAGCCCTTTAGGGTTAAGTGTCTTGCCAAAGGACACATCGGACATGTGGCTGCAGGAGCTGGGGATTGAACTACTGAGCCACAGCCATAGTATGGAGACCGTCATGTTTCAATGAATCCTTAAGAAACATAAATGTATCAGCCAACAGTGTCTGCCTGAAATAAAATCACTTGAACAGCAAGGTCCATATTTGAAAATCATTTCAAAATGCTTGCGACACTCCTGTGACATTGTTGGGCTCATGATTGAGGATGAAGACCCGATAAAGCAAACTAAAAACATTGTCTTTTGAATTTCACACGTTCTTCTTCCACCTCAAAACCCATGGCTCGGTTCAGAGATCCGGGTGTGTTATTCTAGGAGCTGCTAATGTAGCCTAGAAGTGCTAGCCTGAAGCGGACATACAGAGAAGGCTCGAACTCTCTCCAAAACACACCACGCCAAGTACCAGAAACACAGGATTTCAGAGTTACTAACAAGCCAAGAGGATGAGGCCTGTAAAGCTTATTCAGTGAGTTCTGTTTACTCATGAATGCTTACTGCAGAGCTGTCACGTAAACATCATGACGAGCATTTTGGGAAGCAGCGAGAGCTTACATTAACGCATCCAAGTCAGCCAACTTTGCAAAGATGAAACAGTATCAGCATTCACATCCGACTGCAAACCCTCTGAAGCCCCAGCATACTGTACTGTTGTTCTATTCTTTTATCCAGTCCTAAGAAAAACAGCATCCATGCACACAATGCTGCTGCCACAATACTTCTTCTAAATGCTTCCTCTTACTTCTTTGCATCTCTTTCTTTCTGAACTAAGTTCCTTGAATCACAGAGATAACAAATTAAAATCACACTGATCTCCCCTTATCACATTCTGCTGCAGTCTTGGATATAGATCAAAATCGTCTTTAAATCTTCAAATGGAACGCAAAAAAAGTGAAACTCCACAGCCATGTTTTTCAAATAAGAGCCGAACAGAGGGCAAAGGCCATCCTGGAAGCATGCAGAGTTTAGAATAGACCTTTACCGACAGTGAGGAGGTTAACTTATGTTAGAAGGGCCAACTCTAACCGATACCTGAGGTCCTTAGTCCCATCAGAAGTTGGGTTTCTAAAGAAGCTGTAGCCATTGTTGCCATTACACTTTTACTATGGAGGGTTGTGTCTCTTATCTCACTCACGTCCATCATGATGAAATCCATGGTAGCCATGTTTCATACAGTATTATATGTATTTATGTCTTTTGTGCTGTTAGGATGTGTATTGCCTGCATGGACCTCGGTTGCAAACCAAAATGCCACTCGGACAATAAGGATTTCCCGATCCTATCCAAACAATGTAATCATAGCATCCATGTTCCATATGCTGTTTCAATTAGCATGTGTCATTGAGGGTTAAACACCAGAATCTCAGTTACATCATGTCCGTTTTGCTGTCCCTGTCAGTGGTTTTACCCAAAGATACAGACAGCTTCCTTCACCCCAAAGTGTCCAGACAGAAAGTCTGTTTAACATTGACTGCCCAGTTTCAAACAACCATTGTTGACTGCATCAAATCAGACATCGCTTCCTCTGTAAACTAATCAAACACATAGTGTACTTTCTTTGGACTGTAATCGTGTACTGCCTTACAAATATAAAATCCATCCATTCATCAGAAGCCATTGATCTGAATGTTGGTGGGTCCTTCAGGGAACATATGTTCTGTTGGCTACTGTAGAACTCACACAACATCTGGAGAATAGCAACAGTGCTGTTACAATAGTGACAGGAGCCTACCCATGGCCACCTGGCCCAACAGGCAATAGGCCAGCACACTATGCGTCACATGAGGAGCTGACATGAAACATCCATCACATGGACGAGGAATTTACACATCAAATAGCCACCACAGTCTTATTTGCACTATAAAGTCTTGTTGCCTTTTGTTTTCATGTTTAATAAGAAAGACAACAGATTTTTAGATTTGCATTACTGCGGCATTTCTGATACATTTTACAAAGGAGACTTTTAAAACCATGGATTATCTCTCGGCAACAAAATAGAGGACAGGGATCTGTTTGAGGAAGAAGGGCGGTTTACATGATACAATCAGGAGCCATGTTTAAATCATCAATAAATCTTGCAACCAGTCTATTATCTTCTTTGCATCAATCATTCATCTTTCTTCTAAGATAAGATGGCCTTCCAATAATGGTTTAGCTGAAAATAAATGCACAAAACGACACAAGTTCCATGAGCATGTGTTGATTTGATTATTTTATGTTACAGTTATATTTGCCAAAGATATCCTGGTCTATGGTAGATTCTTGATTATAACTTAAATGGGTTCATAAAGTGTTTTAGTTGATTCTTAGGCATACCAAATTTACAATAATAAAACTTTAACTGTAGGTGGGTGTAACTTGTTGAATCCCTTGACAGGTTCTTATCAGAGTTCTAAATAACAGCCAAAAAGGTTTACGCTGTGGCTGCCAAAGAATAGATTCCTCCATCTTATGCCATACAAAAAAAAGTCTGGATTTATTAGTTTCCTAAAGTGCTCTGCCAACAAGTTAGTTGTAGAAGCAGTTGCAAATATGATGCATGAACATGAAGGTCTTAGAGAATCCCACACAAAAACACAGATTTCTTTGGAGTATCAGAGAGGAAAACACTCCAACCTAGACTTCTGATGCTAAAAACAGTATTGATCTTAAGAAATGTTTCAATCCTTTACCTCTGGGCTTGTCTCTGTTTAACCTAGTACATAATGAGTCTGAGAACAGATACTAGCCTTCATCTGTAGTCAGATTTTTTTCAAGCATACAAATCAAAGCTCAGAACATACTTCAAAACCCAGGGAAACGTTTGCTGACACATGGAGAGCAGTCTGTGGCAACTGCTGCCAGGTTAAGCACAATAACAAGACGGCAGTAGCTCAGTCTGAAGGGACTTGGGTTGGGAACCAGAGGGCCGCAGGTTCAAGTCCCAGTGTAGACCAAAACCCTTTTCACACATACGGAAATCTCCTGAAAAACTCCAGAGATTTGGCTACCCGGAGGAACTTTAGGGTACATGTGAACGCAAACAGCCGAACTTTTCGCACAGACTTCACCCAGATTTAATCCTGCCGGACACCCTAGTATTTTATCCGCAGAAAGTCCGAGTGAGCTGATGTGAGAACGCAGCAGCATATACTCCGGAGGATTCACCTTGAGCTCACCTCGAGCCAATGGGACCCCAGTGATGTTCATATACGGTGACTGCCGCAAGGTGCATAAAGTGTCTAAAGTGTCAGAATGCAGCCGTAATTAAACGCTGCATTCTGTTTTCTGTTCGTCAGTATGTTGTTCTCCTCTCTTTTGTGGATGTTGTCATTCCATTGGATTACACATAGCATTGATATAAAGGCAAATATTCTCATTATAACGTCGTGTAGTGGACTCTGTTGCTACACCCGCTACTTCCGCGTTGTTTATTTACGTCACGTCTTACCTCGGGAAATCCCACAATCCCCCCTTCCCTCTGACAGGGAAAGTCCCCCGCTGTGAGGAGCATGTGTGAACGGCTAGGTCAGGAGAATCTCCGGCGCAGTCCTCCTGTAATTATCTAGATATTATCCGGAGTGCAGATGTGAAAACGGCTCAAGTCTGGAAATCTTCCTGAGCACTGTAGGTACCTATAGCTATTTGTTCATGTGTGTGTATTTCGGCTTATGTGTGCGTTCAACAACAGGGTGTAACATTTCCCCTCGTGCCATTAATAAAGTATATCCTTTCCCTCTAACCTTTCTCTGCTGTACAAGCCATTTAAATGTTAACCACTACTTCTCAATATTGATGTTTATTTGACTGATGTACACAAAGATATTCCCCCAGCAACCAGACATGTGTCTCTACGACTGTTACATCAACAGCCAAACACACAGAGTGGCTCAGCAGACTGTAGGTGTCCGTGACTTCATTTGCACAAAATCAATAATGAAAGCATCAAAGGATGAAAAAAAGAAAAGATAAATGCCATCTGGTATGAACGTGGATAAAAATCCCACTCACACATTAAGATCATGGCTGTTTTTGCGTGAGGTTACTGAGCCGACTGTAACAGTGATTTTCTATTGACTCAACCTCCACTATGATCAAAGATTTGACAGCAGTTCAGCTTGTAAAGATACACATATAAATAAGAAGGCTGAAAAGAAGAGGCAGAGCCAACTACATTTTCTCACCTAAGGGAAGGCTTCATATTTCATCTATACTGACAAACCATGTACTTATTTACACACCAACCCTGCTGCATTAGAGGGAGAACATTTATTTGAATGACATTATTCAACTACATATAATAAGGAAAGCCTCTTTCTAACCCCAATCATCTCGACTTAACAAGCTAATTAGTATGAGTCCGGGGGTGTGTGTGTGTGTGGGGGGGGGGAGGAGTTAAGAAGGATGGCTGAAATCTGACATCTGAACAGCAGTAGGCCGACCTGCAGTTGACCTTGCTTTGACAGAGAATGAGGGATGAGGCTTGAGTTCTGGCGCTATAGCGGATAGCCTCCTGTCATAACCATTTACTATCTGGGAACCTGGGCTGGTCAGATTCATGTTACGCCCCAAAATACACATATTAATAATCAAGAGTCTTAATGAAGCCCCCTTTTCCCCTCGCGCCTTTCCTGCACCAAGAGTGTGTGCATTATTTAAATAGCAAAAACTGGGGTTTAACACACCCTGAATAGATTTGCACTGTGTGATTTAGATGCACTATAGATTGTTTAAAAATAGCCTAACATGCATAATCTAATGAATAAGTTTACTAAAATTGAAGATTTTCTTTGAGTGATGTCATTAAACATTTTCTTTAAAAAAATACTAACATGATTGCATTAACTAATTTTACTATAGAGCATTGTTTACTCTTATAATCCTTGTTTCATCCAGGATGTTTTATTTATTTTACTGTTAACTTTAGCCAATCTTTGTCTCAGTTGTTTCTCTTTTCTCTGTTAATTGAATGATTGCTGCGCTGTTATTTTATTTTTCATGCAATAGGATTTTATTGTTGTGTATTTGTTGGGATTTTTTCTTTTTTCTGTAAAGCACTTTGTGACACTGGTTTTGATAAGTGCTTTATAAATAAACTTTATTATTATATTGTCAAACCTCAAAAGGCCCATTCTGAAACAGGAAAAAAACTGTGTGTACACGTGTAATCACAATATACTTAAATGAATTATTGCACATCTAATGCAGTGTTACATCAAATCCTCCCTGGGCTGTGATTCATCAGTGTAACTCAGGGCATCCATGTTTTAAAGCCATAATAGTGTATCTCCATAACAGATGTCTATATTCTAAATGAATGCAGACCTGGGAGGAACCTCCAGTAAATAGCTCTATAATTAATCAATTCATTCTTAGTACAGCACTACTTCAATAACTCTTCTTTAGCTCTTTAGATAATACAATATAAGACGAGTAAAGATGCACAAACACTGACCAAATGTTGTCAGCCCTTCACATACCTCAAGCTGTGCAGCTGAATCTAGCTCAGCTCTCTTGGCGTCAGACTCCCCAGGTAAGGGACTACGGAGGGTCTGTAGGAAGAGCGCTGCCTTCCTCTTCCTCTCTGCCTGTAGCTGTTTCTCCTTGGACTCCTTAGATGCCTGGGCCAGCTTCTCCCTGGCTGCAGCCGCAAGACGATCCTCCAGTTTCTGCTTGGCTGAGGGCAGGAGGATGAGAGGGTGGAAAGAAGATAGAGATGGGTTAGATGAAGACTGAAGACATCATGCCTTTTGTTTTTTTACCCCCATTACACATTTAGTGCTTCTAAAATGCTGTGATAAAGGAGAACATTTTTTAAAAGACAGAGTGGAGAAGGAAAAGAGTGCCAAGCGGCACTTGGCAAGGTTTTTTCCTGACAACTTGAAAATGCTCTTCCAAAAGAAAATAATCAAAAGAGGGAACCAAGTTACAGATGAAAACATGCAGAGTGTAAGAAACAAAAAAGAGAGCACGACAGCACGAAAAATGAAAGGTAGATAAGAACTAAAGGTTTTTAAAAGTAATTTTCAGATTTTTCTGTCTAGGTAAATGTCTGGCAGTTTCCATATCTCCAACCTCTGAGGACTGACAACGTTGCGGCTCTAAATAATAAGGCCTGACTTACTCCCTAGTGGTTATTTCATGCAGCTCAAGGTTTATACAGAAAAACTAGTGGAGGTGGGAGGATGTGGGTGGAGAAGAGGAGTCAGATATCCGAGTGTAATCGAGGGTGGAAGAAAATGTATGTTTTTGAGAGATGAGAAGAGGATATGAAGCGACGCAGATGGGTAGACTGGAGGATAGATAGGTAAAGAGAGCACAGGAGTGAGGATGGTCTCTGAGAGCAACAGGGTGAGTGAGACGGAGGAAATAAGACAAGACAGTGAAGTACAAAGCAAATGCTTGTGGAAAAACAAGTTTGAGTTATGCAACCGCTGGGGCAACTGCTATCTCTTCCGGATTAAAAATAGGCTGGCTGCCGAGGCAAATCATTTTTGAGTAGAGTGTGAACAATAGCTGAGTAGAGAAGAATCCATCTGTACTCCAGGCAGTGACACAGTACACAGTTTTAGCCAGGATGAGTCTAACTGCTTTGTGTTTTTAGACTCATTTAGCTTTACGTTTTATGACAACAATCTTTAAATATTTGACCAGTACAGTATATATTTTCATATGTTCGGTAGGCAATGACAAAAAAAAAACATTTAAAAAGGAAAGTCCTTAAAAAACGTTGTAATCTCATAATGAAATAAAAGGAGCTACCCGAACTCAAGTGCTGCTGCTTTCTGTCTGTTTCGGGTGTTTTTGGAAGCAGCTGAATGTTTGGCAGCACTTTGAGTCCAAGACAAATTTCCCCAAGGGGACAATAAAGTGTGTCGTAACTTAATTTATCAAGAAGCAGCCAAACTTCATTTGACCCAAGCTACTTGTTTGAGCATTTCAGGGCGTCTTTGGATCAGTGGTAGAGTCGATCGTCTCCCAACAGGAAGCCACATGTTTGATGTCTCCTTGGGCAAGACACTCAACCACAGCTTGCTCCTGCTGCTTCAGCGGCAGCATGAGTGTGTATGAATGGGATTAGTTACTTCTGATGGACACTTTGCCTAGCAGCCTCTGCCATCAGGGTGTGAATGAGTAGGTGTGACCAGAGGTGTTTAAGAGCTTTGAGTAGTCAGAAGACTAGAAAAGTCTTATACTAGCTCAACACCATTTACCATTTCAAAGATGTTCCCTGTTTCGCATTATGGTATAAAACACCAAAATACTTCATATTCACAAGCAGAGACTGAAAAATAAAAGAATAATTATTCAAAATCACATTTTCACATTATCACTTTTTGTATTTTGGCCACTCACAACATTCACATGTTATTTAACAAGTAGCTGAGGGCTGTGTCTTGATAAAATGCTGCTCAATAATTTAAAGGTAACCAGAAAACTGTGATACAGGTGTTGCTGTAAACAGATCAAAGTTACACTATTGCCAGGACAGTCTGCCAAACTTTGCCAGTTTGGGAACTTGTTGGCTGTCACCCAAATCCAAAGTGAGAGGCACTGAGATGGCTTAACTATCTACCTAAAATCCAGCTGTCAAAGCATCTGGCCAACAAATCAAAAGTCTGTACTTCTCTGAGGGGGCGCTCGATGAATGGACTACTCTATGTTGAAAAAAAGTATATCTATGTTTAAAGTATTTTGGACATGACTATGTATAGGAGTAAAAAGTGACTCACAAATAAATAAAACATGTACTTCTGGTGTGCGATGCTTACAGTGACCTAAAGGACTCATGTACTTATCTCTAGAAACCCATTTAGCGCATTTGGCAGTTTTCCAGCTCATCAATACAGATTAGGCTTCTGCTGTCTGCCACAGACTCTCCTGCTATCTGATCAGGTTAGGCCTGCTGACTGACAGCCACTTTGCCACACAGCAAAGCCAATACAGTCAGCTATTTATTAGGCTTTTCCAGCTTCATTCTCCGGCCGCCTGTCAGCTCAGGGAGAGAACATTACGCTCTTATTGTGTTCCACTGAACCATAAAAGGGACCTGTCAGCCCCCTTGATGCTGAAAAGTGGCACAATTGTCTTGACTGTCTTCCTGTCCATCTTTGCAGCTGTCTTTTTGCTCAGCATCTTTGGAGACATACAATGTCTTCAGGGCATTTCACCAAACAAGTGACAAGAGGATTGGCAGCTAAATGATGCAAGGCAGCATAATGCCAATGTAGTCAAATGTACAAGCATGGAGATTTACATTACATACTTTATTCATTCCTGAGGGAAATGTTACACTCTGTCATTGAGAGACATGCTTCTCACATATACAGGCCTGAAATACACATGCATAAATAGGACCTGTGGGCGTGCATTAATGGAGAGATGTGAGGGTGGGGCTGCTACACAAGGAGCACGGCAGAGCTGTCAGGGTTCAGTGCCTTGCTCAATGGCACCTCCGCAGCACTCAGGAAGTGACCTGGTACCTCTCCAGCAACCAGACTAACTTCCATATTTTGGTCCACACTGGGACTTGAATCTTTCCCAACCTAATGCTGCATTCATGTGCTGCTCGGGTGGTAGAAGTTGTTAAGTTGTTCTTCCGTCTTTGGTGTGTTCAACTAATTTTAATTCGGAAAGTCGAAATTTTGTAACAGCAAAAAACAGTGTTGATGCTACGAAGAAGATCAGTGAAAGGTCACTGTTAAAAGTTATATTTGAGCAAAAAGTTCATGTGCAATACGTGAATGAATAAAAATATATTTTTCCCCCTATGTAATTACGATTCTGAATTTCCGCGTTGTTTTTCCGACTTGAGCAAGTGTTCATGCGCATTTTAGAATTTGGAAACTCGTTTTTCCCGATGTGTCCGACACCACATGAATGCAGCATAAGTTAAACTGAGCTACTGCTGCCCCTTTAATTTTGTTTTACATTTTTGAAGCAACACTGCTACAGGTGACTCAACAGCCTGTACTTCTGACAACAATGCTTGAATAGAAAAATAAAAATAGGGACTCCTTTAAATCCAGAGCAGAAATGATAGAAGAAAAAAAGTCTTATTTGTCTTTAAAAACTCAGCTAATCTGCTTCATCAGCATTTGGAGGGTATACGTTTATGACAAGGTGCAATAAATCAACTTCAAAAGCAATGGCTCCCAGGCTCCTATTAAAAATCAGTATCACTTTTGAAATGTATGGCCAGTGGTATGTAGGAATATATGAATATTTTAGAAAAGTGACGAACCTTGAACATAAAATTGGCAACATGCATGAGGTAAGAGTATGATCATTTTTCAGTCTCTTATGCAGGAGCTGTCTGTGAGAGTGGTAAAGATCACCATGTTATTAGATCGATCCAGTATGAGCTCTACACATCTGTATCAGTGTACGCCAATGGAAAACCTCTCGCTGGACGGAGAGTGTTTATTCTTCCTGGTCGTGTGCATTCTGATGTAGACGAATATGCCCATATAACTGTGTCGGTTTTTCTTAGTGCAAGGTCGCTGATGTATTACTTTATTTTAGGAAAGACAGAGGAGAGCCCATTTAGAAAAACTACAACCATGACTGAAGAACGGAGAGAAACAAAAACAGGAAAATATATCTCCATAAGGCCTTTGGAGAGAAATATGACTGTTGTTTGCTGTACGACACGGCTTTTCTCTTACAGCAGGGTACACCATGAAGAGGGAATTTATAATTGAGACTCAATGGATTTATTCTTCTCCTCTCTCTCCCCGTCTTGTTTTCCTCCAATTCCGAACCTTTTGGAAAATAACAGTACACCAGTGGGCGTGACAGACATGTTGTGTAAGCAGCTCTACTTTTATGCTGATGCTGACAAAAAAGAATTCAACTCTTGCTCACCCAAAGTAATTAACCATGGAGGAAAGAAAAAAGCTCTGTCATAACCATCATGAAATGCTATTTAAATGGAAAATGGACTTGAGCTTGTATAGCGCTCTATAAGTCTTCTGATTACTCAAAGCGATTTTAAACCGCATGTCACACCTACTCATTCACACACTGATGGCAGAGGCTGTTATGTAAAGTGTCCATCACGAGTAACTAATCCCAAAGCCGAAGCAGCGGGAGCAATCGGGGTTAAGTTTCTTGCCCAAGGATATGTTGCTGCAGGAGCTGGAGATCGAACCCTCAAGCTTCAGTTTGAGAGAGTAGAACTCTACCAACTGGGCCACAGCTGCCCCAGAATTAATATTTAGTTTATCATCCTGTCAATGTCACAAGAAGAATAGCGAGGTCGAAAGACCTCTAAAGAGTCGGCAAACCCGTTGGCTAATGGAAGATTTCAGTATCTTGAAAAGTAGCTCCCGTCCTGTGTATCTTTGGTGTTTTTGTAGCTATAAAGACAGCTTTAGAAAATTATAGAAAGTCTAGTTATACCATTATCTTTCTTTGAAATAAATTTATGTATGAATTACATCTTATTGTTATTCCTGTTATATCACTGCCCAATATATAAAGATGCACCGTTTATTTAAATGTTGTACCTTGTTTTGCCTCCAACTCCTCCAAACTGAGGGAAGGTTTCTTCTCTTCTGGTGAAACAACTGAAAGAGGTTCTTTGTCAACCATGTCCGCACCGGCAATCACAGCTTCCAGTCCTCCCTCCAGAAACTGCAGGCAAAAATGCACAACAATTTTACATAACATGTTTTGTTAATCCAAGGTAGCAAAAAACATGTTGTCAAGGATCAGCTTTCTATCCTCTCCAACCCACAGTTACTACGATAAATGCAAATGAAATGTATAAAGTTGAACTGGACCTTGTCCTCGTCTGAATCATCGTCCAATCGAACTCTGTTCTTCTCCAGCGGCAGCATGTCGTTCTCCTTCGCCTTGATGGCAAAGCAGATTGGTGCGAAAGAGCCTAAAATTACACAAAAAGATACGAGGAGAGAGTATGAATAAAGATAATTCAGAAGAGTAAATGTTCGTAACAGGTGGCCAAGCTGCACTGTGGCCTTCGTTTAATTAACAAATTCACAGTAAAATGGAACATGCATTGAATGAACAGGAAATTCTTCACAATAACAAAAAGTACTGAGGAAACATACAAGGCTGAAGGAGGGTTAAGAGAGGAACAGGCAGCGAGAGAACAGAGCGATGGAGAAAAGGGAAGTAGAAAGAGGGGAAGCCAAATAAAATGGAAGAGTGAAGGACAGCTCACAAAACAGAAATACACACAGTCAGGCAAACACGGAGGGCAAGGTAGAGATTACAATGTGGAAAGAGACAGACAGACAAACAGAAGGATTGTGAGAGCTGTCCACAAAGCTGCAACGGTGTGTGTGTCTCAGTGATTCCTATTTTGCAAATCAAACATGTCTGCTCTTGTAGCGATAAAAAATGAGACAGTGTGCATCATTGCCAAAAGAAATGACCTTAATATAGGACCTTTATCATTACTGTGGAAGGCTGGATAGTTTTCTTCTGCACTTCACTGACTAGTTATTCGTTTTCCCTGCGCCTACACCGTGACCCACTGCCTCCCAATAGTCTGTAGAAATTCAGACTTTCATTTGCATATGTGTGCGGGTTTATGGGTTCCACTAGTGTTGTGCTAAAGCAGACTCTTTCATCTCTGCATACACATTTTCCAGCCTCATCACCAGATGAAATTGCGGGCATAAATTTCAAAACAGTCACGGTGCAGCTGTGCATCAGCACAAATATATGACACATACGCACAGATTTAAATACACACCTGAGGTAATACTCCATGTGCAGGTATATCTATATGTAGACTTTGCATTTAAGTTAATGAATAAATTAACTGAAGGAAAGGAGGTATAGCTGATAAAATGTTCTGGTTTTTTATCTGCCATAGTGTCTCACCTTTAGCCAGCTTGAAGTCGGTCATTAACGGGTCTGATTGAAGCTCATCTCCATCATCAGCTGTGTCGCTCTGGATGAAGGTAGAGAGAATAGAGAGGCAGAGTGAGATGAAATATAACAGTTCATTTTAATGGATACATTACTATGATTGAGGGCAGGGTTGGTCATTTCTGAAAACTAGTATCATTCCCTCAGTGCTCCGTGTACTATCAATTGGGCGGCCATCCAACCAACATTCAGCAGGGCAACGAGCGTGAGTACTGTCAGATGGAGCCCCCTTGGGAAGATTTCCTACCGTCATTGCAAAATTTGCACATTTTAGGCTGCTGCTTTGGGGCCGCCTACTGGTCTGGGGCCCCAAGCAGTTGCCTTCCATTGCCTGTGGCTAGTGTACGCAAGGGGTAGAGTACAAGCAGGGAGACAGGGAGGCGTGATTGGTTCATCAGATTGGTACCTCGTGGCAGACATTGGTCAAAGTTTTTACAGGCTTACAACTGCTACAGGTGACAGATTTTATTCGTTACTTTTTCAGAGCACATGAGTTATTAATTTCTGTCAGGATCTAAAGACAATTCCAACCAAAATCTTAAAACGTGTATCTGGAGGAAATTACAAACCCTGCCTTTAAGTTAATTGTAAACAGTATACATAAAATAGGATGTTGATACTGCATACTATTTTAACAAAAATTAATTTTTCTGCTGTATATTTTTTAGATTACAGATACACAAGTTGGATATTGACAACAGATGATGTGGAAGTGCAGCTGTAATGCAGGCAAAATGTTGGCATTCAGAAAGTTTACAAAACACACATCCACAGGAGTTGGTTGTTTTTCTGCTTGTCATTTAGTTTGTCAAAATCAGTATTACATTACAAGTAAATGGATTGTAACGTCAGAATGAGTCCTTTCCTCTGCAGTGGTTTACAATGAACTGTAACTTGTGTTTTCAAGTACTGCAGTAACTCATCTTAGGTGTTACATTCACATTTTAATTTAATCCATTTGAGGTCATCCCCACCGTGCAGCAGTAAATGTTGCTGCAGAGAACGAAGAGTAACAGTGCAAAACAGAAACCCCTGGCTGTGGCCTGGAGGATGTCCTTCTTTATTGTGCGGGTGGAAGAGTGTGGAGGTGGTGAGCAGAACTAAAGGTCAGTAGACCATTAACAACAGCAGAACACTTTGGAGAGAAAAAAAAACATGATTTTAAACTCAACAGCTTTAAAGCATAAATCTTAAGCCAATGTAGTTATTTGTTTGTGTACAGAAGAGGTCTATCAACGGAAACCAAATGATTAGCTTCTTTTTGCATATATTTGAGGTTTGCTACACATCAAACAACTGACAGGTCTGTCTTGAACTCTCACAAATACAAGATTTGTTTTAACCTCTGATTAGAAATATACAACAGGCTGGAATGTCACTGACCTTTCAATCAAATCGTATAAAAATGACACCAAAGTTAATGGAAGAATGTGCGACTTTTTGATGCAGTAGGTGTCGCCTTTGAGCACCAGCATGAAACCAAAACAAAACTGCTGTTTGGCTAAACCTCCACCACACTGAATCCTCCACTCTCCTACAGCAACACACCGCCAACCCCTCTCCCCTCGCGTTTGCATAACGGAGTTCTCAATTACAATGCACCATAATAAAGCACTAAGCCCAAGCGGCAGACAAAATTGCCCTTGGCGCGAGCCGCATTGTTGTGTTAGCAGGCTAATGGTAGCGCTCTTAAGTTTGCTTGTAGCTTCACATTGCATGTAAATTCACACAGAATGACCGTGATCTAAAAACCGCTTAGGTGACATTCAAATAAGCAGTGAGTACAGTATGTTATTCTTCTTTTCTGTAGTCACTCACTTTGCAGCTTTTATACACAAGGGGATGAGACGGCTGGCTGACAAAAAAAAAAGTCATAATGTAAAGGAAAGGAGTCCAGCAATAGCAACAGCTCTACACCTGGAAATTGTGCACTTGTACATAATATATGTTAGGAAATGGATACAGCAAGTCTCTCTTCCACCATTGTTGTTGACGGAGATGTTATCAGAAAATCCGCCCCTTCTTGATGTTAATTGGTCGGTGAGGGAGAAGTGAAATTGATGACCATGGCTGTGTTGCAAAAGTTAAACGATTTTTAAAATGTGAGGGCTGTAAGCGAAGTGACAACAAGCTGAAGCAATGGTCGTATTAGTGCTTTGGACAGTTCGAACACTGAACTGCGTCGGTGTTGTATAGAAAATAGGCGTTGCCAGCGCAAAAAATGTAGTCGCAGCCAAGTCACATCATTAGTTCATTAACCTATTAATTGACGAAATGGTCCTGTACATATTAAAATAGCAATATGTGACTCTGACACCTGGTGTTTATAACGTGTACTGCACCCAGATTAAACAAACCAAGGGGTGGTCCAAACCGACCCTGGTCAAATCAAAAACAAACCATTCCATCAGACAGTAAGGTCATTTTATGATTTCATTCAGTAGATATCTTACTTATTGCTCCTTGAAGAAGGATCAATTTATTCAATCTGTCATGTTTTATTATCTTCTCTTTAATCTACCATTCCCTCGTCTGGGAGTATAATTAGTTGCTTTAATAGTTTAAAAGTCTTTGTTCAGCCCTCTGTATCGTCTGGCACTCCTCGCATCAACAAAGTTTCTTCACAAAGCCTTTAAAGCCGGATGTGTGCACAAGAAAGATAACCAGAAACTCACTGTAGTAATACCTGTAGACCGAGTGCTCTTAGTCGCTTCCCAAATATAAACCGCTGATGGAATAAAAGGGAAAAGCGGTGATGAAGCCAATGCCACAAGAGGGAAAAAAAAGCTTAACCTCATGAGGTTCATTTCTCCATGTTTGAAGAATGCTTCAAAGACTGCTTCCCACTGTTCAGCTGTAATTGAACAGCGCTTTCAACAGTCAGAGCACTCTAGAGCAGCCCCAGAGAATATAACTCTTGAAAAACTCAAGAAAAAAATCAAAGTTCACGAGTGAGGAAGCCGGATGAAACTCACTCTAAACTGTTCTCTTATAACCTCAGATGGGATTGGCAGGAATTTGGTCGTGCTCACTTACATGTTGCTTAGCCTTTAAAATCCTTGATTCACATTTATAGCTTTTAACCTCAACGTTTGAAAAGTCATACTCGTTCACTCTAAATGGGAACAGGCATCAGCAGTGCAGCAACACCAGCGCTGGTTAAAGGGTTAGAAGCTACCATTGGTTAGTTGGCGAGAACGAGCAGGAATGTAAAAAGGAAAACACTAGCTGCCAAAAACAGACAAAGAAGAAGAAGAAGAATTGACTGGAGTGCAGTTGGATACTTTGACATGGCCTATGATGGATCCCTGCTCGATTTAATGTACGATTATACATGGGGTTTCTGCTTTGCTCTATTTCACAGATGTTTTAGAAACTTACAATACCCCTAACACATGTTTCATTGCCAGGTTAGTTTAAAAAAAAAAAAACTAAGTGGGGCATTGTAACCAATTCTATTGATTTGATTTGTTCTTGAGTTTAAAGGCAGAATGTGCAACATTTTACACATAAATAAATACAGCAGAAATCAAGCTGTATTATTGTCGAAGCTGTGTTTACATCATGTTTACATGGCCTTATAAAGCGGTTTTAGTCAAGGACAAGAGAAAAGAAGAATAACATAGCCTAATGACTGCTTATTTGGATGTCACGTTAGTGTCTTTAGATCGCGTTCATTCTGTGTCAATTTGTGTGCAATATGAAGCTTTGAGTTAACTAAAGTGTGCTAACATTAGCCCGCTAACACAACAATGCAGGACATTATATTATTCCTATACATTTTTAAATGTTATTACTTATTGTCTGTAACATACGGAGCCCCGAAAGCACCAAAACGTTTTTTAAAAATCTTGCGCGCTCAAGTTAATGATACGTCTTCAACATACTGTAGTATTTTGTGTCACAAATTAGATAACCTGTGAGAACAAGATAATTATAATACGCACAAATATTCTTTTTTTTTCCTTTTTGGGACTTCAGGGGCTCCGTAGTAACATGGTAATTTGAGAATCAATTTGCATCAAAGCCCAGACAGTGGATTTTGCTGAACTAAAGGTGTCATTTTTTTTTTGTAAAATGAAAAAGGAGATTTGAGAAGTTGAGCAAGTCTTCACTTTTCATTTAAAGGAGATGTCAGATTAGATTAGATGCTTGATTTTTATTGTTATAACACTTTCTATGATACGTATAACTGAGAATTAGGTTGAGGTGTCACAATATATTCTGCATATTAAGACCATTTTCGTTGCTCTGTGTGCAGAGATCTCGAAACCAAAAGAGGAGAAGTCTCATGATGTGGACTCTTTTAAAAATGCACCTTCTGAGATAAGTTGTGCATATCCATTCCAAAAATATCCCCATTTGTAGAATTTGAAATATTATTTGTGTAGAAAGCACAAGCGGCCTCACATCCTGCCGCTGTCTGCTTTGACTTATTTTAGCCCTTTCTCACTTTTTTTTCCATTAACTGTGAAACTATAAATAATGGCGCTGACTGAGAGCAACGATATCTGCATCCCATTAGCCGCAGCACCAATCACAAACACACGACAGGTTTCTTGATAGAAAATCCGAGCAGCTGCTTGTTGGAGCAGCCTGTGCTGTGTCATAATGGGCCACACTCCTCTGCACTCTGACAAGCTAATTGATTTGATTCACCACAAGACAAATTGCTCCTTGCAAAAACTTTCTCACTCACTTCTCGCCAACTGCTTTCTCACTCAAAGCACACTCACCTAACCTTGCATACATGTCAGTATACTTAGAGGGTATGTCCATGAAAGAAGCCTCTATTCATCTTTCTCTCCACCTAGATACTTGACTGTCTAAATCATATAGAATCAACTTTTCTGAAAAGAATGAACACCTGATGGGACTTCAGTTAACTGGGCAACACTTGTGCACAAAGCCAGTTTAAATAACAGATTGAAACTAAAGAGTCAATTTTTGATGTATTAAAGAAAGAATATGCGACTTTTTGATCCAGTAGATGTCGCACTTGAGCACCAGCATGAAACCAAAACTCACTGCTATCCGCTCTCCTTCAGCGACACACCTCCCACCCCCTTCCACTCGCGTTCGCATGAAGGGGTCAAGCGCAAGCGATGGTGATGTTGTGTTGTCAGGCTAATGTTAGCGCACTTAAGTTAGCTCATAGCTTCACATTGCAGTTAGATTTACAATGAATGAGCGAGATCTAAAAATGCTTACATGACATTCAAATAAGCAGTGAGTATGTTATTCTTCTCTCTTAAGTCCTTCACTAAAACTACTTTATACGCAAGGGGAGGAGCTGGCCGTCCCGTCCATGTAAACATGATGTTAACTCAGCTTCGACAACAACACAGCCAGCAGAACTTGCACTTCTCAATCATTGGAGAGACATTCACACAGGATATACTTGATTTCTTCTGTATTTATGTGTAAAATGTTGCACATTCTTCCTTTAGAAATAACGTATGTTACAGATTCCTGACTAAGATACTGCATTATTACTTCCTTTAAACATCTTAGAAACCTGGAAAATATGCTGCTATTTTCAAAGTTCATTTATCTCCAATGGTGGCATTAGATTGGAGTCTTGAGAGACCTTGGCAGGATAACAAGTTCTACTTTGGAGCAGTTGAGCTCATTATTACTTTCATTATCTGCAGTATATAAGATTTATTACCAGTATGGAGAACATATTTATTCCATCTCTTGACCTTGTGTCCATTTACAGGCTTAGTAAGAAGCCCCTTTGGGAGAGCTCATTTGAAAGGAAAGGTCCATCTCGGAATCATTCTCACGTGCACATATGCACAGATTCAGACAGATTTTGGTTGTTCTCGATGTCTATATTCTCTTTTCTGATTAACAGGGTCCCCTCCTCAGGTATAACTGATAAAGATTGAGAACATAGTTATGAGACTTCAAAGCATGTGGGTTTCATCCAAATTATTTTCAGCATGACATTTTCTCTTGTCATTACAGCAAACACTGCACAGGAAATTACAAAGAGGGCATTTTGTATCAAGAGGACAATATCATTTAATGACGGGGATGAGTTACAGTCATAAAAAACTGTTTTAATGAGTATTTTAATATTATGAGGTCGCCCAAACATGACTGACGTTTCTTGCAATAAATCCACTCTGATCCTTTATGTTAGCATGCCTATAAACCCCTCTATTTCAGCCCTGCTCAGAACAGGCTGTTTCTGTAACTTCTGTAGCTTTAAATGCAAATTAGATGTGTCTGACCACGCCCCCTCTCTGGAAGGGGATGTGCCTCTGGTTTTCTTGAACCACGCCCTATAGTTTACAGCGAAGAAAGCAGACTCAGAGGGCAGAACAAACATCTAGCTGTGGGACTGTCACCCACCTGGGGGAGAATTTACAGCCCTTTGTGAAATCTCCAAACGGCCAGTTTGAGCAAAAAAAAATTCCAGAAAGTGGAGCAGGCAAAAGACAGAGAGGATGGTCTTTTCTCATAATTGGGGGGCTTGTAGGCGGTAGTGTTAGAAAACCATAGTAATGTGTATCATATGTGACCTTTAAACTAATACTACTCGTGCCAACCTCATAACAGCCTCTACCTCTATATGTTTCCACAGATTTTTCAAAGAGGGACAATTTCAAGAAGCTGTTCAACTTTTGAAGAAGAGGGAAAAAAAAAAAAAAAAAGAAACTTACTGAGCACAATTTAAAGTATTGCAAATAAATCAGAACATTACCTCAGCCCAAATCAATGACCAACGTTCAGAAATCGGAGGGTGCTTTAAGGTCTTAGAGAAATCTAACCCAGGGAACAATAAGCCCTTGCCAAAACACAGGCAACAGTTGCAGGTAAACAACCTAATATTCCCTCTAGGGATCAATAAAATCTTACCTTATCAAATCTCAGGCAATAACCAATACAGCTTATAAAACAATGTGCTGCTGGGGAGCCAGGCCTGCAAGTGGATTAAGTAAAAGTGCTACATGTCGGTTGGCATTGCGGCTAATTGAGAGTGATGCCTCATTGAGGTCCTAAAAGAGCACAATTAGATTTCAGTTCTAATGCTGGTGTACAGACAATGACAGAGAGTTGCTCTAAAGCGCCTTGCAGCAGTGGCAAGAGTGGGAAATTAAAAACAGTAGGTGAGAAGTCTGCGACTAAGTAGTAAACCATTCACTTTGTTTCAAGAATGAGGATGTGATGCATTCAACCTCCTAAGTACTAACACTTGATTGTGTACAGTTCTTTAAAGAAGAGAGACAGTACTGAAACAATAACATAACCTCATAGTTCAAATGCAGTGCCTTGACAGACTTGAAAGTGGGATACAAGACTTTATGATTACTTAAGTGGGTCATTTTGTGTGTGTGTGTATTGCTGTTGCTCCCAGAAAGAGGGCTAAATTAACCTTCTCTGCCAATTCAACTCTATTGTTTTATATGTCACTATCCTGTGTCTTTAAACAGTGGGATGAGTGGACTTCTAATTTTAGCATGGCAGGTCCCAGCTTATCAGCAACCAAAAAAGCAGCTAATTTCAAGGTTGACTGTAAGTGCAGTGAATGCTTAGACAACCCTTTTTCCCATATCTGAACCTCGGCTGCAATTCTATTAAACAGAACTGCATACAGGTGTGGAGAGGTGAGGTTGATGACAGGAGACAAATGAGTCAGCCGCTGGTCTTTTAGGTGTGAAGGTCACCTTTTGAAGTAAAGTAGTAACATTGCAATCGCTAAACTTTCCTTTCCTAATAGCAAGCTTCTACCCAGAAACATAATTGTGTATTAATTTGATCTTTGATCTTCTGGAAAATAACTTACTAAATCCAGCTTCTAATTATGTTATTTATGATGTTGTTATGTACATAATATCAACCCTCTGAAAGTATTAGAATATGACTTCTTAACCGTTTGTTGAGATTTTGTCATTTAAAGGCAGGGTTGTTAATTTCCTCCAGATACACTTTTGAAGATTTTGGTTGAAATTGTCTTTAGCTCTTGACAGAAATGAATAATTCATGTGCTCTGAAAAAGGAACGTAGAAAATCTGTCATCTGTAGCAGTTGTAAGCCTGTAAAAACTTGACCAATGTCTGCCACAAGGTACCAATTTGAAGAACCAATCATGCCTCCCTGTCTCCCTGCTCGTACTCTACCCCTTGCATGCTCTAGCCCACACTCAAAGCATGTCACAGATGACAGAGTTTATACTGTGAGTTTACTTTCTGCTGAATGAGACATGAGACGACGTAGTTTCTAAACAATGCAAGCCATGAGCTGAGGTCCACTTCTGGAGCAACAGCGCTAATGCGTGTAAGTGAGGGGCGTGGCTTCTGAGGGGCACAGAGGGGAGGGGGTGGGTATAGATGGAGTACTTTGATTGACATATGTCAATCAAAACATGAGCTGCCACGCCCACACTTTCCTGAGAAATGATCTAAGCTGCAAAATTGCTGTTTTTGAACAAGGATTTCTAATAGTTATGAATGTTCATTTTAACTCAGATTTTTGGAGATGCCAATTTTTTTTTATATTTCAAGTCCAGGTGTCCAGGGTTTTTAATGATTTACAAAAAGACATTAGCTGTTAAAAATAATATAATTTTTTTTTTCATCTATTTCATCAGCTCTGCATGCTTGTTTGTTTCTTCAGATGATAGGAGTGTTTTTTCTGTTTTTTCTCAAATGAAACATTCCTGTTTACAGTTATTTTCCTTTAATTACTAACAGGCTTGTTAAACTTCTCCTTACCAGTTTCCACAACAGCAGTAGTGTTAATCTTGTGCCAGTTGGCAAAGCTTTATTAACCTATTTAGAGCTGAATTTAGGAAGTTTTGTCAATTATGTTTCTCCAGCAGCTGTCGTCAAACAGTGGTAGTATGGTCACCACATCCATTAGGATTTATTAACTGGGGACCATGACGACTGTTGCCAAACTGCATGACAGTGTAGTAGTTAGAGCACAAAGCTAGAGGGTGCCCCTTAGATTCTTATCCACAGAAAAAGAACAATTTCTCAGAGACATACACACAGTATATATGAAGCTTAGAATACCTCCAGCAGGCCTTTTCCTTCCTTATGCATGAAGTAATTCTTCTTAAACTCGTAATAGGAGTTGAATTGATTCCAAGTCTGCAGAAAGTCAAACCTGTGTCAGGCAGAGAAGGACGACAGATGAGATGAAAGGTGAGAACTTTTAAAACAGATGAGCAAGCGGATGATGAAGAGCTTCTGCGGTATCTTAAGCGAAAAACTTACAGATAAGAGTTCCTAAAACCAAGTACTGACAGGGGCAAAAGATTTATTTCTGGTAAGATCACTTACCGTGGATCATTCTTGGCACGGACGCTGGCCTCAAACTTAAGCCCGTTCCTTGCGACGTACTCGGCCAGCTTATCTATGACCGGCTGGATGTCGGGTGGTGGGGGAATGATGGCTGCTGCTACTGCTGGTGTGGAAACTTGAGGTTCAGCTTTCAATCTGTTATGGGGGAATCAAAGACGTCAAGTCGAGAGAAATCATTTGTTGTGCTTTGGCAAAATGCTACGTCAATTGACAGCTTTCATCTAAATAGTTGATTCCTTATATCCCACCCCTTAAGCTATTAATGCTCATCAAACATATCAGTGAAAAACTCTGACTAAGCAACTTATTGGCTTCATTGGCTCTCTTACAAGATTGCTTAATCAATGTTTTATTCACAGTAGTTTCACTTGTTGGTCAGTACTAAAAATGTAAAACTTTAAGGAACCAAGTAAAAATGTATATTTTTCAGAACTGTCCAATACTTCCTACCTGGTTTCTGCTACAACAGCAGGAGCAGCAGAGCTGGTGACTTGAATGGGGACTGTAGCTGCTGGTGCTGTTGGGACAGTTTCAGAAGGGGTGGGTGTAGCTCCCACATTAGGCAGAGAAGATGCAGCAGGAGCTGTGGGCATAGTGTTGTAATAGGAGGTGGCTTCTATCCCGGGGGGAGGCGGGGCCAAGCAGAACGTTCCATCAGGAAGCATGTAGTAGCCGTAGTACATGGCTGTTGTAAAGAAATATACAAATCATGACATAAAACTCTGAAAATAGCTTTAATTCTGATTAATGAAGAACGCTTACTGTAACAAAATGAGCACAAAGACTGCTTCAAACAAAAAAAACATTCATCACACAGTCACAGCCCTTCAAGAAACAGCTTTGAGGTGCAGGCTTTGAGGATGGCATAGATCAAAAAAGTGTTTTGATTTTATCTGAAATGATTGTGCAATCATCACAGTTGAAGGATGATGTACTCTGACATTTCAGAGTCTTGTTGTGACAACTTTTCTATTTCACTTCAGTGAAGACCGTCAACATGCCAGGCACTTATTTGATCTGCTAATGCTAATTAGCGGTACACAAAGAAGAACAAAAAAGATCAACCCAGATGAAGCTGTTAAGGATTGCAGCAACTCCTCAAGAGCCTCCATGTTGTCTTCAAAAGCAAAGATTAATGTGAGCTATTTGAAGAGGCTATCTATTCATTTAAAACAAGAGCTCAGTGAAATCTGAACGAAATTCAGTTCATCAAATGCTTTTAGATTAGTTCTCTTTTTCACGTATTTAAAAAACAGTTTCAAATGAAAGAGTGAAGGCTTTGTGAAAATCTGCATTCAACTCGGCCACGGCAGTTCAGGTTGTGTTTGTCAGACCTCAAATGGAAATTGCATGGTGTGTAGCATAAGTGCTGTGTTGGGCTTCTGTCACTTTGTAATGTGCTTGTGTAATGTATTGTCCTGTTTGTGTCTTGCCCATTATACCCTTTATGCAGTAATCAATTCAAATTAGCTGAAGGAAGAAATTATAAATCTTAATGTGACCTCTGATCTTTTTTTTACGAGTGTTTATCTCTTTATTGAAAAAAGAGAGCAGGGAAGAGAGAAATGGAGGGGGATTCAGGGACACTAGGACAAAATAAATTGTCAGTGTCAAAGTGGAGACAGTGTGATATTAACACATTAGTCACTGAGCTGTCTGACTTTGATGACGCATCCAATTTTCTCCAGACAGGAAAATGGAAACACAAAACAGAAGCTTTCATTTTCAAACTTTGATGGAATGTGTAAAGAGATAAAGATTTGAGATACGCACATGGAGGTCCAAAGAGCCCATTTACTTTAAGGATTGAGCACATAGACATTTTACCTAAATTGACTTTATTGTTGCAGTCAGCTTGTTTCATTTGGAACAGCTCTTGTAGTAAAATTTGTGTAATCCTCATTACCTAAACTACATTTAGGGAGGTAATCCAGAACAAAAGAGGTAATGAAGCAGTTTATGATCCCTGCAGCGGATTAACATAACGGCCCAGTTGTTAAAAGGCTTAATCTGGGCAGCAATGATCCAGAATTGGTTATCCACATTTTGCTATAAGATCCAGGTAAACCAGTGGTTTTTAAAGGTCACTTTACTTTTCAACAAGTTTAGATTAGTCTCAGAGGTCCCCAAAACATGTCTGTGAAGTTTCTTGTTATAAATCCACTCTGATCCTGTATTTGATCACACCAATAAACCCCTCTATTTTAGCCCTGCTCAGAACAGGCTGTTTCTGTGTTTGTAACTTTAAATGCAAGTGAGCCGTGTTCTTCCTCTGGAAGGGCTTGGGTGGCGTGGACTTTCTTGCACCATACCCTATTGTTTAAATTGAGAAGGCAGACTCAGTGGGCCGAACAAACACCTAGCTGTGGGACTGTCACCAACCTGTGGGACTGTCACCAACCTGTGGAAGGGATTACAGCCCTTTGTGATGTCATGAAGGGAAAATATCCAAACAGACTGTTTGAGCACACATTTTCTGAAAAGTGGAGCAGGCAAAAGACAGAGAGGATTGACTTTTCTCATAACTGGAGGGGTTGTAGATGGACTAGGGACAGATATTAGTGTTAGAAAACCATAGTGAAGTGTATTCCCCATAATATGTGACCTTTAAAGAAAAGCTGGATAGGATACAAACATTCGAAGATTACCAGATATGGCTCTACATGTGACTTCATACTTTGTCTAGAGGGGGTTCCAAAATCCACCCAAACATAAAAATCCCGACAGTTGCTTTTGATTGAATATATAATGGTAGATATGAACAGCTATGTGGTGACATTTTTTTATGTGGACAAAATGCTTTATATTTTTTTAAATTCTTATGTCTATCTCAACTAGCTACTACAACCATGTCAGAATGGCGTTTTGGAAATATGATCAAATGAGTTCACATAATGTCTCCAATGTCATCATCATTGTAATAATGTTGTTTCGATTTTGCTATATATTAGATTTTATATATACATGTTTGTTAATGTTTGTCCAGATTATTTGGACCTCAATCTCTCTCAAAAGTTTTGAACAAAATAAATTCGGGATTTTATTATTATATAACTAGATTTCCTGATACTATACAATTCTCTCAACCTTTATTCTTTTTTACAACCTATTCTCAAGATTTGATCCAATCCCATGGCTTTAATCTGATCCGATTATTTTTAAACAATTAGGCTCAGAAAGTGCCAAATAAAAACGTTCAAAAGATGAGAGAAGGCCTCTCAATGCTACCACTAGACAAATTAAGAGCTTTAGGTTTAAGCGACATATCCAACAGCATTTCACAGCAAGGTCAACCAGAACCAATTTCCTTACATCAACAGCCCTATTTCTGATGATGGGGTCAAAGAACAGCCGTCTCAGGGACTAATTATTTGATATAATGGAGCCTGGTGAACGCTCAGTCAGTCAGGGCATGACCGTGATTTTCTTTAAGCAGCTAATTCATAGGGGATGAAAACATAAATAGAAACATTTCTTAAGCTGCCCTGTAATGAATCAAGTGGGGTGGTTGTGGGTGGATATGACTCATCATGAGTGGATGCAAAAATTGCCTCATATAGATGTCCAAAATCAGAATTTATTTGGGTGTTTAAAGGGTAAACACCCAATGGTGAGGTGTTCAGTTATTTTAAAACTCAAAGTTTTTTAAGGTTATTAAAAGTTGTTGATGTTGTTTTTCCTTCTTTTTTTTTTGGGGGGGGGGGGGGGGGGCGGCACAAGCATCGAAACTGAACTAATTAAAAAAACAAAGCCAGGTATTGTTTTATTTTAACAGTAGCCTACATATATTTTGTAAAGTTGGAAATTATTCCAATATAAAGTATATTTAGATCATTGGAAGTAGATATGATAAGTGAGGATATTAGGGGTAAAGAAATGATGTTCCTTTCTTTGTATGCTTCATGCACCCCAACCCAACCCCCCTGCATTATGGGGCCCCAGTTGGGCAGCCCCAGTCAAAAAAGTCTGGATACGTCGCTGCTTGTAAAACAAATGCGCTTGAAGCACATCATGTTACTTTGTCCCTTAACGGGACAGAGGGGGCAACAAGTGCGGGACATTTACTCAACTTTCAGCCGCAGGTTAAAGTCAGACAACTTCTTAACTTCTCAAGGAAATCAATCTTTCCTTTATCGACCACTTCACAGTGACTAACACTGCTTCTTCTGAGAGTCACATCTGATTCTCTCTCTCTCTCTCACTCTATTTAAAGTCAATGTAGATCACCCATCGACAAGCTCTCTCTTCCTCTGCTATATCATCAAAAAGAGGGGATTTTCTTAAACCGAATCAAAATCACAGTTTTGTGAAAAAAAGGATGTATCCTATTGGTACATTTTTTAGAGAGCAGCATGCTTGATGTGTCAATTAAAATATGAAAAGTCACAAAAGCTGACTCTGTATCATAGATGAAAAAAGAAATATATTTTGAAGAAGCTGTTAAATATGGTATATGAAAAGGAAAGAGTTGTCAGTTCTTCAGGTAAGAGGCTCTGCCAAAATTCATATCCCGGCGCGGCGTCTGAGACGAACCATAAAGGATGTGTGTCAGTCAGTGTGATTATGTCAAAGAAGAAAAGTCGCTCTCAATAAGAACAAGCAAGAGCAAAGCAAAGGGACAGCGAAAAGCATAAAAGATGCTTATGCATTGCTACAATCAAGCATAAATTAAGGAAATTCCACAAATAAAGTATGCCCTTCTTTGTTGGCCACCATTTCAAATTAATGGTAGGCGAAACCGTCTGCAAGAGTATGAAGCACTTATGTACTGTTGTGTAATCAGAAATGTGACTCTTAGCATTACGTATTCCACTCAGTCACTTTCTTTAATTTGTAACACCTATCGTTACTTTTTAAACACACTGTCCCTTTAATGTTATATACTGTACACTATTTCTAACACACTTCTGTCTTGTTTTGATTCCCTGATGTGTTGGTCCTGACTGAACCTGCAGGTTGTCTTTTATAATCCAAATGTTGCACACACTTCCAATGAAGTCTGATCTGAGCCAGAACCCTGGTAGACTACTAATGGTGCTCCTAAATGCTGGTTCAGGTGAAGTCTTTTTGTTTTAAGAAGGTCCCCCAGAAAAAAAAAACTTTACTTTAGTAATATACTAGGGTCAGCATAAAGTGTTAAGGAGCCTTATTGAGCAACCACCAGTGGAAAAACAGAGAAAGCACAAAATGGTCCACAAGGAGGTCAGATGGAAGGTTTTTGTGGTCTAAAAACTCTCTGTTGTGAAAGTCAGTTGTACCACATGGCAGGGAGGCTTTCGTATTTTGTTACTGATATCACCATTACTGAGCTCAGCTGTAGAGAGAAAACTTGGCTTTGCAAAAAAAGACAACAGAGGGAAATGAAGAAGGAAAGACATAACAAAATAATGCACACCAGATCTGACGGGCGATGAAAATGGAAATAGTGCTTATAAATTTCACATGACTTTTGTTCTCACACAAGAAGAAAAAAAGAAGGTCTATACTCACGGTCTGCAGAGTACTGTACTTGTGTAGTGGGTGCAGGTGGCTCTGGCACTTCCTCTGGTTTGGTTTCCACTACCGCAGCAGTGCCATTTCTTTCCTGTTGGGCTTTCCGCACAAGTGCTGCCAGAGGATGGTCCGGGTCCATTACTTTAAGAGGCTGCAAGAAAGTAAGACCAGTATGGTAAAAACAATTTATCACCCCATTGCGTTTGTTTTAGTAAAGGAATGCTTAAGTATCCGAGATGAGATCATATGCACATTTTACAGAAATAATTGAATACACAAAACACTCAAAGCTCTCTGCAGGCAATGTTTAAGCATTATTCTGCAAGTTGTCTTGTGTGCAGCATTCGTCCTTGGTGCAGTAGAGGAGATATACAGAATCTAAGACTAAACACCATGAAATATGAATCATTAGAAGAAAATTAAAGGGGATGATTTGAAAGGGAAATCTGTCTTGACAGGAGGCGAATGTAAGACAGCTTGCTACTTAAAGAGGCTCATTATGTTTCTTCAAAAAAAGACATTCTTCCATCCCGGCTACTCTGCCAAAGAACTAATGGCTGCCCTTACATGGCACATGAAAGCACAAACTGTAACAGCACGGAGATAGAAGCAGAACACGGTTATTAGACCATACAGTGATGCAAAATTGGCAGTACATAAATGTAATTCACACAGAGATGCAGTTGTACCCTACAGGTTAGGAATGCAATGTACACTCAAAACACAGCTGAGCATCACCCTGTGTGGCCATACACTCTTTGGTCGGTATACTATTGACATTACCTTCACCAGCTCTTCCAGGCGAGAGCACCTTTTAGGGGCAAACAGGCTGGGATGGAGGTAATTACCGTCGCCATCGTCGTCTGAATTGTCAGAGTTGGAGTCTAGAGAGAGAGAATTTTAAAGTAGAAAACATTTAAGAACTGCTTCCTCAGTATGTTTCTTGCAGTTGTCATATGTTCTATTAGTCTAGCTTATGCACAGATCTGATGTTTCTGCATTGATTACAGTACATAACACTTATTGATTTTTGTAAATATAACGTCTGTGTAGGTACATGACACCCACGGATTCAATAGGTGCTCTCTATAACTCACCCTGAGACTGGTCTTGTTTGCCAGCGGAGGCAAGGTTGTATCGACCTTCTTTCATGGCTCGCAGGATGTGTTTGTAATAGGGGTTCAAGTAATGGTCAAAGCGGAGAAAGTCAAACTGGGAGTTTCCAGACTGCTTGGCTTTCAGCACTATCTCAAACTGAGCCCCCTGCTGACTCACAAAGTTGGCCGTCCTCTCGATGATGTTATGGGTCTTGATGGTCGCTGGCTAAGAAAGATAAAAAGCAAGACATAGGTATAAACATTTTAATCTAAACATTTAATGCAGTTTTTGCACTTAATGCAATTTTTCAGCGTACAAACACAAGAAATATTTCATCAGAAAGATCCCGGGGCAAAGTGATACAACAAGTGAGAGTGAACCTGACAGCTGCACGTAACTTAAAGATGGCAGTGCAGAATCTATGATTGACTCTTTGTAAGCCATTTTGTCCCCAACGCATTTTCATGTCAGGCACTCCGGTGTTCATTTTGGTGACATTAATTCTTAAAAGTACACAGGGGAGTTGAAATAGCGGAAACAAGAAATGGTCCATTATTCATTCATTATTTTTCCCCTTGGGTGCGTTCAATGATTAATCATTGTCATAACCTAGAGAGAGTACAGAAAAGTGAAGCAACCTTCCAAATAACACCCTAATATCTTGTCAAGATGCCAGTCATCATAAAAACAAACTTTTGTGACAAAGGTCAAAAAGAGGCCAGTGTCGAACAAGTTCGAGACCATTTATGTGTTCTAAGCTTGCAAGGTCTTCTAGTCATGCAAGAGCAGCCTGAAAGTAAACACGCATTATTAAGAAGAGCGGGCCTCATTCACTAACTGTTCTACAGAAGAAATGTGTTCTTAACATCCACTTGTGTAGTTTCCAAGAAGATTCTGAAATTCACATTTTATTTCTGATCTGGGATTTGTTCTTAGGTAAGAACAGAATCTATGGACACTCAAGAGTAGAGGCCGACCGATTAATCGGCATGCTGATAATATCGACCAATATTGGAATATCAAGTGACTATTAGAATCAGTTCATTTCATCACAGATATTAGAGATGCACCTATCCACTTTATTTCAGCTCCGATCCGATCCGATTCCGGATTGTTGTTGGTGTTATTTGTAAGGCTACACAAAACTGTAGTAAAGCCGGAATTGCATTTGCTGGCTTCATGTACGAACAGTTAGCAGCAGCAACAACTGTCAGCTTTTCAAAATAAATATTTTAAACCGAATTGAAAGAGTTGTACTTTTGATCACATAGAGGGAGCTGTTCCATCTTGTCTGAACGTTGTCATGGAGACGACTAGTTGGCACTTACAGTTTAGTCTGAATGTGAGACTGTTTAAAGTGCCCAACAATCTTTCTTGATCTGTGATGTGGATCTGCACTATCAGTCTGATATCCGATACGTTTATTACGTCAACATCAGACCTGGCTAGAGATGGGACCGATCTGATTAAATATCAGTATCATCTCTATCTGATATTACTGGATTAATTCAACAGTGAAAGAGCATTTCATTTCAGAGCGTGCTTTATGGATTACAACAAGCATTATTGGAGCGTCATTTGAGTAGTGATATGTCAGGGCTAAATTATTGGCTTTCATGTTCCCCAACTTTTTCACCTGTATATTTTAAATAATATATAAATTTATGATTCAAGGTATTTAACTTTTATTACAATCATTCAGTGTTTGGTCTACACTGCAAAATGTTAAATTGTGAATACAGACTAAACACTAAGGGAACTAATTTAATGTATATTTGTTGGAAAGAATGTGCTGAAGAACAAATCTGCCACACACACACTCACAGCCGCCACCTTTAGAAAGAATGTAGCGTCAAATCATTCTAAAAAAACGACAATATGTAGTCGGCGTGTCTCTTCTGTTTCTGACAATCCTTCCCCTCAGATTTGAGATCAAACTATCAAAAGGCCTTTTTCAGTTCATCTGGTGTGTGCTCTCCTTTCTGATGACACTGTTCTCTGTGTAAATGATGTGATCCAAAGTATCTTGTTTAGTATAGAATATGTTTTATAGCCACTACAAACTTTACTAAGTATAACAAATATATATTTTTATTTCACTTTGAGCAGCACTACCTCCACGTCAGAATGACGGAAAGTATTTCTTGTATTTGGAGTCCAGTGGGAAATCGTTTTTAGATTTTATTTTGAGCATTCCTGACTTTTATTTACTTTTCTTTCCAATCCTGAATTACATCTTTAGGTGCACATTGCCCATATATGGACATTAGAGGCGAGTTCACCATTTGTTAATTACGGTAAGAATAAAAATGGCATGTGCATCCTGCTAACAAGGAAGAGACATTCATCATTTGAAGGACACAGTAGTGAACAGTTCAACAGTTTAAGAAAAGGATTCTGTATCTGCCTTTGAGTATTATTAGGAACTTTTTTATGAACATATTTTAAAAAATATTAAGGAGATGTTGTGAATGAGGCCCATTGATCTTTGCTCTGTCAAATGCACTACAAGTGATTGAGGGGGCTTATTTCAAATCTGGTCTGGGATCATTGCTGTACAACATCTCCCTCTGTTCACATATTGGTTTTAGTTTTGAAACCAATGTTGGATTTCTAGCCGAAGAAATGCTTTACGATAATCTTAACAACAAATATATATGTATATGTATATATATAATAAAAGGGATTGCCTTTGATGCAAGTTTCCGTCTCCCCCAAAAGCCTGCCTGTCATTTCCCATTTCCCGTTATTACTATGAAAGGAAATGAAAAATCCAATATAAATAGTCCTAAAAAGTAATAATGAGAAATATAGCACACTGAAATGTAGTCAGAGCAAGAAAGAGATCGCTTCCCAATCTAGGGAGTAAACACTAATAATATATGCATAGCATGTACTGCAGCAGCTATACAATGTTCTCTATACATGAGGGTGTTTTGGCTGTTTTATACCCACAATGATATATACTGTATGCACATTGCCAAAGACAACATTCAAGCTTGTCTTTCTTCTCATGCATAAAATCAGTGGAGCTGGAGGAGGCGAGAGTGAGGGGTTCTAGATGAACACTGACCAGGACTGAAGGGAGATAGCCTCGCACAAAAACAGCAAATAGAAAAAAGCAGCAGCAATGCATTGGAGCTGGGGATCGAACCACCAACCTTACGTTTTGAGGGACGTCTGACTCTACCAACTGTACCACAGCCACCCAATAATCCTAGTTACTAGCTGCTTTTTGTTATTAGCCAATAAGAATTTTATTTATATGCACAGAAGTCTATTTTTTCAGTCAGCACTGTGCAGTTTCATGTGTTCTACTGAAGGTTAACTGATGAGTTGATTTATTAAATACTGGTTAAACAGAAAGTGAAGTATGTGAAAACTTCTAAAAAAGGATCCTTCTTTTCAATTATGTTTCGAACCAAACATTTCCGCAAAAAAAGAAAGAAGGTAAAACGTTGAGCCAAATCTTCACAAATTGTAAGTTATGGTTTTCTTTGTCTACCATTAAAACTAATTATCTGAAGTTTATACTGTTTGTTGCAGAAAAACACTTGAGACACAATGAACTCTGGGAAACTATGTCCTCGGACCAATCAACTCAGTCCCTAATGATTGCTGTTGTTATTATTCTGGTCTGTTTTTATAATATGCTGTGTTTAGGCCATCTGTGATCAACATCCCAGTGTTCATGGTTTAACCTCTCTATAACTCAATTACAGAGAAAACGTATATAAATTGAAATTCTCCTGTTTCTGCATGCCTTCACATCTGTTTGTCACTGTATGTAAATGAGCTGTGCAGGCTTCAGCAGGGCCTGTCTCTCAAACCGAAGATATTCAAAACATCCATTTATGGTGAAAACTTGTGAGATGAGGAAAAACAGTTTCTATTAAGGGACGTATTCTTCTTTTGATGTGTCATATAATTAGACTGTCAGGGCTTGACATCCGTACAGATTTTAACATCTTCACATTTGACTTGTCACCAAAGGTTTTCTGTTACGTTGTCGTCCTTCGAGAAAAAAAATATAGTACACTTCCTGATCTTCATATTTTAGACTCAAGCCATCATAGATTGTTTTCCTTCTGTCCCACATAAGCTACACAATGTTTTCTCTGGCTATAAAACTGAAAAAAAGATGCTATCAACGACGCGACATTTAGTCTTTTAATAGATTCTACCTTCATAGTTGATCCAACATCTTAACAAATAAGCTCTTAGATCAGGGCAGAGCAAAGTGTTCACTATCAAGTTCTGAAGTTCTACTCTCAGTTGACAGCACATAAAGCGCCTGTCTCCAGCATCTGCAGGCGCCTTGATCCTGTGAGGTTATGGATGCCTATGTTTGCAATGTATGTCAGAAGAAGTCAGGATAATGTGGGAGAGAAATCTAGGCAGCGTGCACTGGGTATTATTATTTGATGATTGCAGGGATTCAAGCAAAAATATATACCGTACATACATATTCTGAGTGGAAAATCTGAACATATAAAACAAGTTCAAGTAAAGGAAGTCTACTTTAAATATGTACAACACTGAAGTATAAACACTTGCAGTTTAGAGGTTAAGTTATGACACCAAACCGCTTTTTTTCTTTCCATATGTCGACTGAGAATATAAATGCAAGAATAAAAAATGGCTGAAATCAGCCGTATTTACAGAAGTCCCAGTTTTATCCATGTGATTAGAAGTAATAAGAAAACAGCTGACACTAAAGTCAGTACCTTTTCCTCATTATATGGACTCTACATGTTTCTGGTATTAGGTAGGAACTATTTTTTTTGTACTACACAGTCTTGAAACCAACTTTCATTATGAAAGTTCAATATCTTGTGTTTTGATTTCAGTGCCATCGACATCAGTAAGCCGACTGGATATTGAGTACTCACAAGTTCCACATCAGGAGGGATAGTGAGCCCTGGGGGAGCAACGAATGGTTCCTCACTCTCCTCAGGCTCGGCTTCTTCTATGCATAGGGGGAAAAATATGGAGAATAAAAAGATGAGATCATGGCTTCTTAGTCATTTGTGACAAAATAAAAATAAAAACACAGCTGGGTATAAATAAAACCCCGAGTGCGTAATGACTCAGGATTTATTCCTCGTGTTTAGAACATTTTTAAAGTGAGCGAACCAAATGACCCTCCCCCCTCTCAAAATCCATCCGCCTTACAGATCCATCAAATATACTTCAATCTTCATGTTTGATCTATAACTGCTTTCAATAAAAAAAATTAAGGTTTTGTGGGAAATCATAACCTTTGTAATGTTGTACTGTATGAAATGTGCACAGTTATGAAGGAAACAAGCCACTTTATTTAAGGCCTTGCATTTTAAAGGGGGAAAAAAATCAGCTGTTTACTTGACGCTTAGCTTGTGTTCTTGTGTTGTGAGGTCTGTCGAGGATACAGTTTTAGTAAGAGCCTGAAAGACACACAGTGTCCCTGAGTTCATTCATCTTATGTCACGTCTCAACTCCAATTTAGTGTCCAAAAAGTGAAAGAAGACGAGAGCTCTTAATCATCACTCTGGTTATACAACAGGATTTATATCATGCTTAAATGGTGTATATTTAAAAATGCTGCTATGGGCTTAAAAATGATCAATCTTCACAATTTATTGATCAATATGTGTTTAATCTCTCTTTTTAAAGGCAGTCACGTTTCATCCCCATTTATCATTGTTCTTCCTTCAAAGCTACAGCCAAACGCTGACTCAGCAGCTTGACAAGAAGGTAGTCTGCTTTCACATCAATGACACAATGAGACAACTCATAGTCCCAAATATATGGGATTACATATTTAGGCATTAGAGTGGTACATTTCAATATATTCAGCTAATAGATAAACTCAACATTCAAATCATGTTGTTTTTTTGACAGGAGACGTAATTAAAGGAGGAGAATTGGAAAATAGTTTGACAGCAATATAACAATGAGATCTAGATTAGTCATATTGAGATGGGTAACAGATTTTAAATCATACTGCAATTAACCTGCGGGCATATTTGTTTTCCCCTCAGGAACTATCAATAGTCAGAATGATTTATTTAGACTGGGTTCATTTGTCTCTGGATCTATCTGTAGAAACATTAAAATTTGAATAATCTAATTGTGCTGGAGGCTTTTTTAACATTTTAATTTGTGACAAATAACAATGTCAAAAAGAGAATTTAAACACTGTTCAACTATTGAGGACCTTAAAGGAATACTTCACCCATTTGCATTAAGCTTTGTATCATTAGAAACCTGGTAGTATTTTTGAATGGTCGTGTATCCCGCCCTCATTTTCCCCTAAGATGGGAAATCTTTGTATTTTTAAGTCTGAAAAGGAGCTTCTGATGACGCAAAAATCGTCATTTTGCATCATCGGTAGCTGTTACGGTTACCGGGGTGAAACTACAACGCTAGTTCCTCATATTTTTGACCACTGAAGCTACAGACCTATCACAGATCAGTGGGTGGGAACTCACAGAATCAAAACTTAACGTCCGCCATATTGCTTGGAAGCTATGCTAACAGGCTCTATGGAGAAAGCTGATAATGGCGAAAAAATATAAATATAGCCGCGAGACGATGGCTGCCGACAGGCCGGTCTTGTGCTGTGGCTGCTGCGGCTGCCGCGACACAAAGCCAGCCTGTAGGCAGCAGCCGTCTTGTGGCTATATTGCTGGCCACCGCTGCCAGCTCAGCAGCCGAGACATAAGGCCTGCCTGTCGGCGGCGGTGAGGACGAGGAGCCCGGGCCGGCTCGAGCTGGGGCGGACTGGTGGTGTCGGTGCTCTCACTGTTTGCCTATGGACACAGACATAGAGTCTGTTTTCTGCCAGGAATTTCCAAGATCAATTCTGGAAGAAATCTTGGAATCAGTTGAGGAAACGGCCTCATGTGTTGAAGTAAATATGTCTGTAAATGTTTTTATTACTATATTTCTACTGCTTTATTTTTGGAGAAACTGTAACTATCGAATTTCCCTCTGCAGTTAATAAAGTATTTCTGATTCTGAAATAGAGGGCCTTAGTGGGAGTGGCCTGTGGTGCTGTGCATTCTGGGATTTGGTGTTTTCATCCACATGAGCCATAAAGACACTTTCTGCCTTTTCTCGGCCAAGAAGGCACCAATTTCAAAATTTATTTCACATTTCTACTACATATATGACCCAATGTCAATACAGATTCATGTTTTAACAACAGGTGAAGTATCCCTTAAACTGTAGCAGGGATTCAGTTGAGAGTAGCTATAAATGTTCATAGCCTTTGTGACATGACCTTTATTGACTCACTCCCAGAGGTAAAATTGTGATGGCATCATTAGATTTAGCTGATGTACTCTGGACCCTGGACTCTCTACCGCTCTACAATCTCCCAAGAGACAGACATCAAGACGGCTTAACTGTCAGGGACAGTCTCTCCCCGCAATCTCTACATCAAATATTTAAAGTTGCAGGAGCGTATGTGTGTGTGTGTGTGTTAGTGGGTGTGTCAACCAAAGTGAACACAGTTGTTCAGGTGATTAACATTCGAAATGGAAAGCCCTCCACTCACAGCTGAAAACTAAATAATCTTTCCATGGTCTTATGTCATTGATTTTAAGCATTATTTTGAGTGTGTGTGACATGTTCAATGTTTGATCTGCGGACTTTGAATCTGCAGATTGTCTTATGGATGTGAACAGCAAAGAAAAAGAAGAATTGGACCAGACAGAGCTGCTGTGTTCTTCACATTCAAGTTATTGTGGAAGTTGTCTTAAGTGCCCAGAAGAATTTTTGGCAGTCAACAACTAACACACAAATACTAAATTGTAAGACTAGGAAAAAATGTTCTACATTTATTTATTATTTATTAGAAGACAATTTTTCTTGTGTTCCTGGTCTTGTCATACTATGACTAAGAAGAAGAATAACTGGGATAAATAAACAAAATAAATTAAGAGTGCATATTAACTTTAACTCAGTTTCTATGTCTGTCTGCTGGCTTTCTTCACGTTCTACAACATGTCCCTTCAAAAACAAAAATAAATCCCAAACTGTTTTTTTCTTCTCTAAATTGGAACTAATTAATCCAGGAGTAGCTGATAGTTAGCTTAAGCTTCATCTAAGTGCTTCAAAATGGTTTGAATCTTCAATACTTTCCCAACCCAAAGTCCCTACAGACTGAGCTTCTGCTGCCCATACTAAATTAAGTGTATGTATAGTTGTGAGTGTTGTGAGATTGATGAACTATACATTTGAACGTATAAGCAGGTTTGAGAGTGATGCGAGTTCTCACCATGTTCCCTGTTGGCATCCTCCTCCTCAGTGGGCTGAGAGGGGTCATAGTAGTCAGCGCTGTATTTGAAGGCCACTGCGTTGTAGGTGCCTTCATCAGCCAGAGCTTCACTCAGACGTTTGTACTCCTCCTCTATGGAAAACAAGAACACACCTTATGGAGAACTATTCAAAACAAAAACAAAAACAAATCCTACAGCTGTACACATTTTCTTTCTATATCCTTCTATCACTGTATTGCAGACAACGAATACCATCTGGTAACAACTTTGGACACTACCTTTACATCTCAATTCATGCAAATTTCTCAAATGTTTAAAGGTTAGTTTTAGGATTTTTCTTTTCATTTGTTAAGTTTGTCTTCTCCAGCTTTTAGGGTCCTGAAAACTTAGCAAATTTGTCAAAATAAGGAGACCAGAAAGAAACGTTTTTGTAAGTAAGCTATTTGTGGATTGATGCCAAAGTTAGTTTTTTTTTTAATGGTGTTGGCATTATGGTTACATAATTAATAACCCTCGTAGTCAATACTACTTTTGTAAATATTTTCAGAATTAAAAATAAATAAAAAATAGAGGTTAATTCCCTCTCTATATCAGAGTCTATTTGACTGTGGGACCACATTCTAAAATATGAAATTTTACTTGTACACACAAACTGGTCAATATAAAGTCTTACTAGAGGCTCCATAACTACACATGCTTGCTTGGCCCCAGACACCATCCCCCCTTCCCTATTGAAATTCATGGCGAACTATATCTTTAATAAAAGAAGCAAGGGCAAAAATCCCACTAAAACTATCAATATTTCTAATGCTTTGCCTCTGTCCTTTCAGTGGACAGATGGGTAATAGCCTGAGTGAATGGGGTCAGGCCTCCAAATTCAAGGGTAACGCAGCCCGGGGGGATGAACCGTCTGCAGTGAATGTGTGAGTGTGTGAGTGACACAAATCATTAGTTGACTCATTCTGTAATGTCAGTTTGGGCATAAGACACCATACTTCACTTAAAACTGTGGCGTTTTAATTCAATGGCAGTCATTAAGTGTGTCTTTCAGAAGGGTGCTTTATCATCAAAACAGCCTGTTTCATTAGAATGTGAAAAAGGGAGTGAGACGCAAGTATCACAGAGTCTAAAGTGATTTCCATAGAAATGGCAGCTCCTGAGCTCAGAATCAAATCCGGTCCTTTTAATGAGACAGAAACGCTGAACAAGCCACCTCTGTTGAGGATGTGAACTGGAATACCAAGATTTCAGTGAGAAACCTTGACTCTATTATGTAGCAATTGTGAGATTTGCCACTCATCCGTTTGTACAGACAGGCTTGTCATATTAGTGTTAGTCTGTGGGCGAGGTGTGAAAGCAGGACACATGGGCCTGAAACACTGACAGTCGGTGAAAAGAGCCAACAGTTGAGCTCTTCAGCAGCAACACTGACAAAGCTCTATAACGATGATCTGATAAATTCATGTCACAAGTTTAATGAGCCATTAGTAATTGATGGAACATACGTGTCAAGTAATTTGTTAGAGTCAAAATATTTAGCCAATAGAAAAATAGACATGTGGCAATGTTCAGTATTTAACATTTAAGATTTACTTTTATTGATCCCCGCAAGGGGAAATTTCAGTTTTCACACTCTGTAAGTCATGAACACACACACATAGGCTGAAATCTTCACACACAAGCAGAAACAGGATCCTGTGGACATGCACTAATGGAGAGAAGGCAGAGTGACAAAGCGGCCCACAGTCGGCGCTCCTGAGCTGGTGGTGGGGAGGGGGTTTGGTGCCTTGCTCAAGGGCACCTCGGCAGTGCTCAGGAGGTGATCTGGCACCTCTCCAGCTACCAGACCAACTCCATATTTGATCCATATTTGGTATTATATCAGCACAGATATCCTGAAACAACTTCTAAGCCTTTAAGGCACATTATTTAGTGCAGAGGTCATTCCTGCTGTGAATTTAAATGGTTATCTTACAAAAAAAACAAAAAAAACAGGGAAAGGTATATTTACAGAAATCACACTTATTGTACAGAGTAACAATATTTCTTTTAACATGATTTCTGTCACATTTCCTGTTAGTGCGTTCACACTTGGAAGTAAACTCCTGAATAACTTGTGATATTTCCAGGAGGAGCTGCATGTGTGAACGCAAACAGCCAAATTTTTCACTCGGACTTCACCCTGATGTGAGAACACAGCAGGATATTCTCCAGAGAATTCACCTCGAGCCAGTAGGAGAGGGTTGTTACGTTAATGTCCTGTGACTGCTGCCGGTGCATAGACTACACAGAACACCACAACCTCTGTGCACGTAATTTAACAGCTGCACTATGTTTTCTGTTCATCAGTATGTTCTTCTCCGATCTTTTGTTGATAGATTGGTTCCGTTGGACTACATAGCATTGAGATAAAGGCAAATATTGTCATTATAGCCTCGAAACCCCCCCCCCCCCTGTTTGAGAGGGATAGTCTCCCAGTGTGAGGTGCATATGTGAACTGCCAGGTCAGGAGAATATCCAGAGCAGTGCTCCCGAAATTATCTAGATACTTTTCAGGAGTGCATATATGTGAAAACGGCTTTTTTAATGTACCTTTACCCATTTCTAATTTAAGTACTATAAGTTGCATTGCCATGGATTGTACAGGGGATACCATGTTATCCCATGTCTTGTTTAAAAGACATGTAATGTATGCAGAGGGTCAGCACCTTTCTGTGTCTCAATACCTCACAGCTTCATAATATAATGGGATGAAAGATGCTAATGACTGGTGATTGATGGAGCTACAACAATGCTAATAGGATACATGAGCATCACTCAGCCACTAGGGGCAGATTCATATTCACAGGATACATGATGTACTTATCAACAGAAGGTGTGCAACACATACAGAATAGAAGACTACATTCACCAACGGCCCTGTTTGGAGAAGCCTGCAAGAGTATCAAAACAGAAGCTAACCACAGTGCCGCTGTGGACAGAGTCAACAAAAACAGGTTCTCTCAGCCATTAATAAAGGTCTGCATAACCAAATATTCAGTTTTTTTTAAATGTAGGCCATATTGGGGCGCTGGTGGCCCAGTGGTTAAAGCGCGTGCCCCCTTTGTGGAGGCTGAGGTTTATTTCCGACTCCATCCACTGTCCTATCTCCCATAGAGGCACTTAATGCCCAAAAAATAAAATCTTAAAAAAAAAAAAAAAAAAATGTAGGCCATATTTGAAGATATTTTCACTGCTTCACCTTTATATCAGACAATATGTTCTTGTGCATACAACTGTCCTGTATTGCAATGAGTTCCATCATGCAATGAATTATTGTGTCCGTCTGTGGTGTTTGTGTCAAACATAGCCGTCGCCAGCACAGACTGAATACATTTTAATTGTTGTAGGCTTGAGCTGTTGTCGACTCTTTAAACGGAGGATACCGTTTTTTTTTAAGTCTTGGAAAATAAGCCTCCCCTGACAGAACATAAAGACAGCTATTCTATTTTTAATAGATTTAGACATACAAATAAAACAATAAAGACACACTGTGTTGTGTCCAGGTAATAATGACTTTAAACTTCTGCTTTAGGGAATGCAGTATACTAAATGATTCTCCTGCTTTTTTTCTTCAGTTTTAAATCATCTATTTGATTGGTTGCCCACCTTGTCTGGCTTCTTCTTCCAGCAGGTCACTGTGCAGAGCCAGGTACCTCTCCTCATCGCAGAGCGCCTCGATCCTGTCCTCTTCCTCTGACAGCTGGTAGGAGGTATTCCATGAACCGCTGTCATACTCTGAAAGGTCATGTAAGTGACCGCGCCCATCGTATCTGTTGGATGATAAACAGGGTTAGAGAGAAGGAAGTCAACAAAGCTTTTTTATACAAAATATCGAACTACTTACCAAGGGGAGGCAACCTAAAACCAAACTTTACAGTCATGACAATGCTCTCTGTAAGTCTGACAAGAGGGAGTATTCTTGTAAAATACTACAAGTTGTCAAAATCTCTTAAATACTGTCAACAGCTTGTAAGTGTTAATGGTGCTGTCATGACACCTAACAACGAGCTTTCTGCTGCTATTTCCTTTCTGGACAAGTGTAACAAACCAAAAAGGCCTATATCACCAAAAGACAAAAGCAAAGAAAAACAAAGCAACTCATCTCTTACCTTACAGGGTTCAATCCCCCCCCCCCCCCGCCCCTGTAACTCTCATCAAATACATCTGCAAAGAAAGTTACATTCACACAAACCCGAGTACATAAATACCTATCCGTAAGAACCCAAATGGACGACATTTTCCAAGGTTCGTCCCTCTACGCCACCTCTCAGTTGAAGTTTCTTCATGAAGACAAAGAAATGGGGTGCTGTTGTTGGCATTCAGGGTTTGGCAGGACCCCTTAGCCTACCTTGCTGAGGGGGGGGGGGGAAACTGGGTTATGTGATAAAGACACACATACAAAGGCTGTACACATGAATCACAAGTCAGTCCACTGCAGATCAAGAAGATTCAAAAGAATAACCAAAATGTCTGAAAGGTTTAAGTAACGTACTTCCGATTTCTGCATGGAGGTAGCAATAAAAACTTTACGCCGTCACCTGCAGCAACATTTTGTAGAAATACTGCAGTCAAATTGAAATGTCTTGCCGGATGACTGAAGCGTAATTATTTTTCCCCATTGTCATCATTATATTTTGAATCAGCTTAACTGCAGTAACTTCAGTGTTGGTGAGAATTTGCTCTGGGATTACTGGGTTTAAGCACAGTATAATAACATCTGCAGTCCTTGTTTTGTGCATATGGTAATGCCGATGCCAATTTAAAAAAAAAGACACTGAAAATATAAAACACGGTCTTTTGTCATGCCCTTCATTTTTACTCTCGTCAACGAAACGTAAACTATGCCTTGAGATAGTTTCCAGAGGAAATTCTTCCAACATGCCAAGATGCAAATCCCACTTCAGGGTAATCCATGAAGTCTTGAAGGTTTTGAATCAGTCATTGTTCAGCCCAGAGCAAGTTAAGAAGGCACACTACACAACTCAATGCAGTCACTTAAAACCATTCTGTGGGTCATGACTTTTATTTGTTTTGATGGAAAATACAAATTAGTCCACACTGGTTGCATTAGACTGCAGTAGTTTTGCTGGTATGCCTTGTAAATGTGTTACTGGGTGATCTTTGTTGGTCCAACAAGCTAAGACTGGCAGGGAATTGTATCTTCGCATGTTTTTTTTTATATTGTTTATACAACTTCAGATACCATTTGTTGTCAGTTTAGGATATCCAAAAACAAAAAAAACACGGTTAACAGGCAAGAAATCACACATTCATTGTCACTTGCAATAATTTCCAAGCTTCTGCAAAACAAACTCCATGTGGTCCCTTGCATTTGGAAACAGGCTAACGGACAGGATAGATAGTTAGCATAATGTTTCAGTCTAAGTTTTGTTCAACCGACCTATCAATCATGATGCTCTTGTCCCCCATCCATGGGATAAGGTGATTTCCATGCTCGTGGTACAGAGCCCTTTCGTCGTCTCGAAATACTTTGCAGGCATAGCCAAACACCAAGAGGTCGGCGTATTTATCACTGTCACTCACATCCTTCTTCACAGGTTTGTTGTTGTGGTCTCTCTTTGCAGCTCCGCGACGATGCATGTCCCACGTGTTCGTCACAACAATTACTTTTTTTTTTTGCAAGAGACGGGCAGTGACAACGCACGGTGAATGTGTTTTTGGTAAACAAATGGGTTACAGGTGGTCCAAATGCTACAATATTCCGTATGTAGTACCCCAGAACAATTTTTTTTTACGTCCCGTCGGTCGCCATGTTGGAAATAAGTAAAATGCAGCAGTTCAAACCGGTCCGCACTTTCGACAATTTGTCTGCGCTATTAAAAAATAATAGCTGTTCGCCATAATTGTTTGAAAGTATATGCATAAACATATCGCGAATTATGTTGCTATTTGAATTTAAAAAAAACGTCAATGTCAGTCGTTTTTCACCTGGTTAAGATGTTTTTTTTTCTTACTTCTCTGGAATGTGCTTGTAGTGAATGAACCCTTCAGTCTACACCACCGTGATATCACAGCAGACCACCACAGAAGAAAAGTATGCCCCGTCACATTGCTGCATTTATTTATAAAGAACATTTTAAGAGTAGAGATAATTTACGAGTAGCAGTTTGAAGCTGTAAGAAAGCTCGTTGGAAAATTAAAAAAAAAAAAAAAAAAAAGACATGCATAACTCAATAAAAAAAATTAACTCAAAGAAGAAAAAAATAAATCAGCCTAGATAAGTTGGAGGTAATTAGTACAGGAGCAAATTGCATTCACTTTTTTTTTTTAAATTAACAATTCATTTAATGTATGCGAAAAGGTACATGTGATATAGTCTAAATGTATCTCAGAACAGTAGGCTATAGGCTATGGATAAAAAGGGTAGGCCTACTCTGATGTTGTGTTGAGAGTAACATTTTAATCATCTATTTGGAAGGTGAAAGATGAGTTTGGAAGAAAGGTTAAACAGCAGCAGAACAAGCGCGACTACATATTGAAAAGTAAATGTTAGCCTGGACATTTTTTTTTATTTTCACTAGCCTATACTATGCCAGGAGTGGCTAATCAGGAGAACGGGGAACATGCCCTGGCTTTAGGGCAGTGAGGGCCGATATGCAGTGATGGGGGGCTTTTTCCAAAAAGCCACAGTTCAGTATGTAGTGCAGACTTTTCAGCAGGGGGTTTCAGTTGACTGAACCCTCGTGGTCACTTAGTAATGAACAGTAGGTCCTAACAGTATACCGAGTGATCATCCAGTCTGCACTCATTGTTCAAGTAGCTATTCACTGAAGACCAGTAGCCTACTTCTGAAAGTATGGGCCGAGCACGTTTTGCCTGGGGGAATAATGTAGGACACATTATGCAGTTTCAATCTTTGGCAGTTCATCCAAGTATCAGCTATTCTCTGCCCACGATTGGCATTAACACAATTGAACCATATGTGATCAATCTCCCTTGCTCTGTAACCCTCACATACATGTTGTTTTTATTTGTATTTTTATTTATCTTATCTATTCTGTTTAATGTGTATTTTTGAGCTTTCTTGTCTGTGCTGCTGTAACGCCCAAATTTCCCCTCTGGGGATCAACAAAGTACTATCCTATCCTATCCTATCCTATATATACATACATATCCCACCCATACAAAAAAACATGAGCCCACAATACAGTTTGATATATGACATATGCAGCTCAGGCTAAAGTTTAAAAGTTTAAATGTCTTCTGTCCTTACTTAAAGGGGACTCGTTATGAAGTGCAATTGCAGTAGGTAAAAAAGTATTTTTAAATCTGTCCTTTTTGCAGCTTAGCTGCTGTAGCCTCCCACTAAAAACACTCTTTTGTTCACACACAAGATTGTGTAAGGGATGTTATTGTCCATAATGTTCAACAGTTTCTGTATCATCCTTCATAATTATGACTATCCATTACTGAATTTGTTAAAATAAATGATAGTTGTCAACCTATGCTTAAATGCGCCAAATTGGAAATTAGATTTTTGATCAAATACACAAAATGTAACAAGGCTGTAGAGAATAGTTCACAATATTGACTTACAGTATATCATAGGAAGGCTAACATTATAACTCCAGTGAAATGATGACAACCTGTACACCTCCAGGCCCCTGAAGTCTGTGAGGACCAAAACCTCCCGCCAAAAAAACAGTTTCTTCCCCTCCGCTGCCAGCCTCATTAAAAATGCCCCTGCCCTCCCCCTTCAGAACACAGACTGTCAGCCAGCTTCACAGTCAGAGAACATTACTGTAATGTGAAGGCTAAAGTCAAATTCCTTGTATGTGTGAATGTACCTGGCAATAAAAAGTCGGATTCTGATGTGAACTAAAGCTGGCTGGTCTGAGCTATGAAACTCCCAGGAAAATAAATCTGCTGTCTACAATGTTCAACACTGCACATTTTGTTTAATTATATTTGTACAATTCCCTGTGCTTTATTATTTCTTCAAATACTCTGCACTTTGGTTCTTCTTACTTATTTCTATTAATATTTCTGTTTTATTCCATATTTTAAATGTATTTCTAGTTTTTCTACTGCTGTATTGTCCATGCAAGCCACTGCAACGACCACACTCCTGCACTGGATTAATTAAGTGTTTCTGATTCTGATTTGCAACAGAATTGGATGTAGAGAAGGTTTGGTCTAGATTTTGATTGTTAGTTAGTTTTGTGTCTGATTAAATAGTACACTGCTGAGGTATTCGTATTTCAAGACAGGTACAGGAGAGTTAATAGGCTCTTGGAGATGAAAAAAAAAACATTTCAAAGCCTTGCCAGTTTTGTTCACATCCTTTTCAATCATATCTCTGTCACACAAAAACCTCTCCCCCAATTCTGGCAGCACAGACAGTGGAGTTGGAGTTGTCCATTGTTTTCTTTGATGGATTCAATGTAGCCAAACTATATTTGGGAATGAATGTCACAATAAGGAAGACTTTGGGGAACATTTTTGTTATTTTCATTTTTTATTGGATTTACTGTTTTCTCTTGCCATATGGCAAACTGGATTTTTCTATTTGCGTATTTTTAAACAGTTTTCATTTACAACATACTCCCCATGGATATCGAGGCTTGGTAAATTATCTGACCCACACAACAACCAAAAGAGAGGCATGAAGAAGGGTTTGAAGTGCTCACATCAATAACAAACACTTTTAAACTTACTTATTATATGACATCATTTAACGGCAATTGGGGGAAAACTCAATTTGGCATCAATCAATCAGCCTGTATTTATTTATTTATTTATTGATATAATTTACACAGCATGAACAAAAGGAGTTCACCATTGCTGTAAGAGTAGCTAAAAGTGAGGCAAAACGGTGATGTTTAATCATTTGAAATATGTAAGTGCAGGAGAAAAGTAAAATTCAAGTTAAGGAAAAAACTAATTCCTTGAGTCCATGGGGCAGTACTGCACTTGACTTCTCGTCTTACCTGTCTCCATGAATGAGTATTAATAAAACACCTTTGAAGACTCAGTCAGATTCTACCAGCACTGTTAGCTGTGTGATCCTGCACACTTTATCCTTTTTAGGCCAAAAATAGTCAAAGAATGAATTCACAAAACCAATTTTCACATGCAAGGTCATTTTATTTAATTGTCCCTCCACACATAGTTAAAAAAAAATACACCTTCTTAGGTAATAAACTTGGGTCAGAGAGGACATTAGATCAGAACTAGAAACACATGGCTCACGTTTACTATATTACAAGCCTCTCGGGCCCTTTACTGACCAATTTGAAAAATAAAAACGTTAAACTTGCAACCAATTGCAATTGATCTGTTTCAAGTCGACACTCTGTGGCTTGCATTTGTGGTTAAGGTACAGCAGTTGCAAATCAGCACAGCTTGTAGCTACAGTAGCCTTTATACTGTAGAAGCACACAGAGCAGGTCACACATTCAAATGAAGTGATGGCCACACTTCCATAAATAATTTAATCTGCTGTTTGTAACATTTTCACAAAGCGTATCAGCAACACGAAAGATTCTCTTGTTCTACTGAATCATACACTTTTCATTATTCTCATGAATAATGAAGATATGTAGAGGGAGAGCATTTAAATGTTTCTTACTTAGATAAACACTTCACAAGCTATCACTGAAGGCATCACCAAAATGTTCAGCTCATCACATCTTTTTCAAAAGAATGACATGTCAGCAAAGGGGTGAGTTAACCCCTTCTTCTTCTTCTTCTTCTTCTTCTTGGCTTTTGTTCAAGAGTTCCTTGAACTTGATCTGTTTTGAACTGGTGTTATTGAGATAAAAGCTTCAGTTTTTAAAAGTAATTTCAATGGCAGCGTGAAAGGCATTAAAAGCTGGAATACAATAATAAAGTTCAGATTTCTTAAACAAAACTGTTGGTGAATTTAACATTTTTGTAATTCAACTTTGAGTTTGTTCAAAAATAATAAGTTATGAGTTGTATTCGAGTGTGAGGAAGCCTGAGATTCCTGTTCTGTAATTATTGCTGTATGCATGCACCCAATAGCTCTATTTAACGCCAAATTTAGCAATAAATAAAATCTGAGTAGCTCCTCAGGCCTAATACAGGAAACAGCTGAGCTTGTGTAGTACAGTTTACAATAGAGATGAAGGAGACTGGCCTTGTAGCTCTCACCACAAAGCTTTTATCTCTCCCCTCTATTATTTACAACCTTGGTTCTGTTCAAATTTGTCCATATAGGTTCAGACGTACGCCCTTGTGAAAGCAGAGAGTGAAGCAAGTAGGGCAGAGTGTGCAAAGACCAGAAAGTCATTTAAGTATATTGAAAGAAGTTGTGTGGTAAAAATGAAACACTCAATACCGGCCAAGTGTCAGTGGTGAAGTAATGGAATATAGATTGTAATTAATAGACTAGCCCCCATTTATGTCACCCCATATTAAGGTGGTCCTATCTTTCTATCCAAATGGCTAGTCTTTGGTTTACCAAGTTCAAGACGTTGCAGAATCAGTGCCTTAGAGAAGACCAAAGATATGGTCAACTGAAATACTCTGAAGAAATGCGCTAGATGGGGTGTGAGACGTTTACTGTGACTGCTGCATGATGCATAGAATGTATACACGCGACTACTACGATCTCTGTGCACGAAAGTAAAAGGCTTAATTTTTTCAGTTTTCTGTTCATCGGTATGTTGTTCTCCGCTCTTTTGTTGATGTTGTCTTTCCGTTGCACTACACTTGAGCACTGACAGAAAGGCAAATATTCTCATCATAGCGTCGTATTGCGGACTCTGTTTCTACGTCCGCTATTTCCGCGTTGTTT